CCCGGACTGCGATTCCACTTGGTCGCAGTTTGGTGTTGTGTTTTGGCGTGTCAATCCCCTCACTCTCTGGGGCACATTATTTTTTGACAATTGTTAACGATTATAGCAAAGTTGTTTGGGTTTATTTATTGAGATATAAGTCTGACGTTGGTCGATATTTGTTGGCTTTCTTTCATATGGTGCAAACCCAGTTTGGCAAAGAAATTCATTGTTTACAGGCGGACAATGGTCTGGAATTCAAGATTGGTGTGCTCCATACTTATTATGAAGAATCCGACATCATATTGCAGACCTCTTGCACTGATACGCCGCAGCAAAAGAACGTTGTGGAGCGTAAACATCGCCATCTACTAGAGACTGTGCGTGCACTACGTTTCCATGCGAATTTGCCTCTCGAATTTTGAGGCGAGTGTATTCTTACTGCGGCCTACTTGATTAATCGTATGTTTTTGGTCATGATCGGAAACCACACTCCTTTCCAGGTCATGTTCGACAAAGATCCTCCTTGTCATCATTTGCGTAGTTTTGGTTGCCTGGTATATGCTTGCGATAATCGACGTGGGCTGGATAAATTTGCCGATCGTGGTCGTGTTGGTATTTTCGTTGGGTATCCTGGCACTCAGCGTGGGTATCGGGTTTATGATTTGGAAGACAAATGCATACACACTTAACGTGATGTTCGCTTCTTGGAGGATACATATCCTTATCGCATTTCACCTGATCCCTCCGCATCTTTGTTTCATGGACAGCCTGCGCCATCCATTTTGCCAGCTTTGGAGCCATCGTGGGATGAGGCAGAGGATACCTCCCCTCTGCATGTCGTTGGTGATTCCATGCAGCCCACGTCCCCGTCGCTGAAATCGCCTAGTTGAGTGGATTCGGTCTCCCGGAACAGCTCGCCCTCCAAGCCTATTCCAGCTGAATTGGGCGACATCTCACGAGAGTCCGCCTCCTCACCATCTCATATTCCATCCTCATTGTCGATCACCTCGACTTCACCCACGCTCGTCAACGATGATGTGACTCATGTACTTTGACGAAGTGATCGACCTAAACAACCTTCCACTCGCCTCAAGGGTTTTGATGTGGATCTTCCAGGTTTCGCTCATGCGGCTAAGGCCTACTGTCCTATTAAGGATTATTTGACGTATAGACGTCTATCTCAGGCACATCATGCGTTTGTGGCAGCTGTCGCCTGTCAGTAGAGAGAAGTTAGAGAACTAGCCTCGTTTTTATTACTAGGTCGTTCGCTACAAGCATTGGCGTGATGCCATGTTGATTGAGTATCGTGCTTTGGAGTCCAATGGCACTTGGGAGTTATGTGATTTGCCGCCTGGCAAGCGGGACATAGCATCCAAGTGGGTTTTCAAGGTTAAGTTTAATGTCGATGACACTGTGGAACGCTACAAGGCTCGTCTAGTAGCGAAGGATTTTACCCAGGTCGAAGGCATCGATTATCATGATACTTTTGCGTTGGTTGATAAGTTGGTGACAGTTTGATGCTTACTCACTGTTGCGGTTAGTCGGAACTGGATTATTCATCAGCTGGATGTGAATAATGCCTTTCTGCATGGAGATTTGGCAGATGAGGTTTACATGGAGATTCCCCAAGGCTTCTCTCGGCCTGGCGAGACTCGAGTATGTCGCCTTCGGGAATCGATTTATGGTCTTCGCCAAGCCTCGAGAAATTGGTATAAAAAATTTACTTAAGCCCTCACTGAGCTGCGGTTTGTGCAAAGCTGCGCGGATCATGCTCTATTCACCTATCGTCGTGGCAGGTCCTTTGTGGTGGCTCTCATTTACGTTGATGATGTTATATTAACAGGTAATGACGTGGACTTCATTCAGCAGGTGAAGGATTTTCTCCATTCTCGTTTTACTATCAAGGATCTCGGGCCACTCAAGTACTTCTCGGGAATTGAGGTTGCATGTTCGCCTCGAGGTCTCGTTTTGAATCAGCGAAAGTATGTTCTGGATATTCTTGCTGATTCTGGCCTCACTGCCACGCGCCCTAGTGGCACGCCTATTGAACAACACCATCGCGTTGGTCGTGATGAGTCCCCTCCAGCCGCTGATGCTGCCTCCTTTCGACATCTAGTTGGTCACTTACTCTATCTTATGGTCACACGACCATATAGTACTTATGTAGTTAACATGCTCAGTCAGGCTGTTTATTCTCCTACTCAGGCTCATGTTGATGTCGCGACTCGCATTTTGCGCTATCTCAAAACCTGTCCTGGCTGTGGTGTATTCCTCCCTGCCTCTCCTGATCTTTCTTTGACTGCTTATTGTGATGTCGATTGGCCTGGTTGTCTGCTCACTCGTCGATCGACGACTGGCTACTTCATTAAACTTGGATCTTCCCCTATCTCTTGGCGCACCAAGAAACAGTCTGTTGTTGTCCGTTCGTCGGTCGAAGTTGAATATCGTGCCATGGCCAACACGGTTAGTGAGATTCTGTGGCTTCTGTGCGATTTGGGGTTCACATTTCTCAGCCTACTCCTCTCTAGTGTGATAATCAGGCAGCTTTGCATATTGTTGCTAATCCCGTCTTTCACGAGCGCACTAAGCATGTAGAGATGGATTGCTATTTTGTTCGTAAGCGTGTTTAGTCTGGGGATATCTTACCTCTCAAGATTGATGCTCAGGAGCAGTCGGCTGACCTTTTCACCAAGGGTCTCGGGATTGATCAGTTTTCACATCTTCTGGTCAAGCTCGGACTTCTTGACATTCACTCATTTGCTTGAGGGGGAGTATTGAGATTCTTTATTCTTGTGTTTTGTACTTTTAGCAAGTTAGGGATCTCTTTGTAATTTGCCACCCTAGTTTATAGTTTAATAGGGTTCAGCTACTGCTGATATAAGGGTGAAGGCTTCTACGCCTAACCCAAAGGAAGAAAACCTAAATCATAATAAAAGTACAGCTGAGAACTCACGTTCTCCGTGGACTAGTCTTGTTCATTCATGAACAGGGAAACCACGTAAAATCCGGTGTCGTACGTTTTACTATCATTCAATTTCGTCAATTTTATCAGCTCCAATTCTGCCCCTCATACGGTTAGGAAGATTGGACCGTAAAACGGTTGTAAGTAGTTGATGGTTAGGAATGTTTACAAGTAGAGTTTGGATGGATTTTTCTAAATCCTTCTTATTCACATTTTTCAAATATAAAAGCTCATATTCACTTCATATATATGCAGGAAGGTTTTTACAACCTCATCCTTATATCCACGGTTTTTGGGTACTCGTCGATAATGCTCGACCTGTATATCCGATATTACTATATATATATAGAATTTTAACATGCAGATATTCAACTATGATACTAAACAAAACTAGTAAATCATGAAATAAAAAAAATAAAAAAATACAACCATTACGAATACGAATTCAAAGAATCAAATCCTAAAGTGTCCATTCATTCATAAGACAAAGTACAACACTATGAAAGTAATTCTTCTGCAACTCCAACACATCTACTAAGCTTGCCTCATCTCCATTAGACTTGTTGCGATTTTTCTCCATACCCACCTAATATAAGATTTGGGGCGGTCATATATCTACATATTTACGTTTTTTATTGTCATCTCTAGTATGAGACGAGGTGGGGGTTGCCCGCACAAGATGACTTGTTTTATAAGGTTAAACATCTCATGCAATGACACAAACAAATAGCAATTGGCATAGTAAATAGCTACGGTTAGTGATGACAATTTGAACCCACCCCTCAGGTATTACTCGACCTGACCCGTGATTGGCGGGTATTACCCGACCTGCAGTAGTGTGGGGCGGGGTATGTGTATCTACTTCCGACCCGCCTCTCCTCTCCCTGTTCTTGCCCCATTCTATCTCAATTTCTTACAGTCTCATACATATTTCTCCTATTTTGAATTTTCTTCAAATAGTTAGAGTTGATCTTTCAACTTGTTTGAATCATTTACTCATTCTATTATCAAAAAAATTCATTCATAAAGTGTTTTCTTATCCGTTTTATTGTAAAAAGTAAAATTTGCATTTATTTTTCTTAAGTCGCAATCGCCCTCGGAAAATCGGGGTATCTCTCGCGAATCGATTTGGAGTCGCCATCGACAGTGCTTTGGGGTGGGTCGAACACCCTTTTCCCGTTTTAATTTTTTATTAAAACCAGAATTCTGGTCTGCGAATTTTAGACTGTTCTAGGTTCGAGAGTACGGTTACGTGCGGGGAAGTGTATTCACACCCCACAACGCCCCATAATGGGTACTACGTAAATCGATAAGTTTTTTAGAGGTTGGGTGTAATATTAATTGAGATTTTTGTGTGTATTTAGTTGTAGTTTTAATTGTTTTTTTTAATGTAAATTTTAGAGTCCCATAGGACGATGTGATTGGTGTAAACTTGAATTTAAAGTTACCAGTTTTCACGTCTATTGACGTAAAAAGGTTTTTTAGATTGGTTGGACTCGAACCTATCGGCTGCCTACGTACCCAGGTTAACCGAGATCAAAGTCCACCTAGTTCGAGTAAAACTTAATAAAGTAAAGATTTTCTAACCACGTTCCACTGATCGTGATTCTCGTATAAGGGTTTTGTTAATAAAATTCGAATAAGTTATTACGAGGTTGATAAGAGAAACAATAGAATTTTAGCTGTTAGGAAGATACTTGAAGTATTAAAAAAGAAACGAGATTAACTTAATCCGTAATCGAAATTTCGTATTAAAGATTTTGAACAAATAAAACTAAACGAGATAACTATATTTGCGCAAGATAGGCTAGCAACCCAACTGGCTAAGTTGCTAGCACATGGCACATTCACTCCCGTGGACACGGGTTCGAAACCTGTCAAACAACATTTTTTGCGTCTCGTTTTGTTTCAGAGACAGGGGGAAAGGCAATTTCGTAAATGCTCAAAAGGACGGTGGCATGGCCACGTTATTTTAGCGAAACCCTAGGGGCAAAGGGGTCATTTGTAGGCGAATATAAATACGTCTCTTAAAAAAAAATGGAACCCTAATCCTAAAGACCCAAATCGGCCGCCCCACTCTCTAGATTCTTCCTCTGGCCTCTCTCCCTCTCGTCTCTCTTCTTCTCTTCCAGAGAAAAGAAGACCAAACCCTAGCCACACAAAAAAAAAAAACGCCGATGTCACTCTCTTCTTCTCCCTCTCTCTCTCTTTCATTTTATATGCTGCTCATCCTCTTTTTCTTCCCCAGAAACACGAACTAGCAAAAAAAAAAAAAAACAAAGATGAACAAAACCCTAGCTCTTTCAATCGCCTCCAACCTTCTCCTTCCCCCTCTCAAAACCGACTTCCCATCTCCCGAATCCAAAAATCGAACAAATACCTAAACGAAAGATGCGAATCCCCTTCGCCTCTCTCTCTCTCTTTCTCTTACATTCTGGTGGCGGCGAGGAAAAACAAAGGAAGATTCAAGCGACGGCGAGCAAGGAGGGCCGCCGACGGTTGATGATGACGGGGACGAAGGTAAGGTCTTTTTTTCGGCTTGCATGGTGATTTTCTTAGAAGTTTTCTCGATTTTGGTTGGATTGGTTGGATTCCAACTCTTTACCTCTCCGATTTTCTTTTGTGAGAGGAGGAAAGGGAAAGGAAAAAAAGGCGACGCGAACCAGAGTAGGGAGGCTATTTGCTCCTATCTAGGTTTACGGGTTAACTTTGGTAAGTGGATTTCAAATGTTTTCGGTTTTGCATGTTGTAGATCTGAATTTTTTAGGGTTTTCCAGAGATCTAACTCTTCTGTTTTTTTGGTTTTGATGGAGGGAAAGGGAGTTTGGCGGCAGGTCTCGTCGGCGAGCTGCGACAAGCCGACGACGGCAAGGTGGGTTCTGCTGCATTTTATTCGCTTTCTATTACTCCACTTTGCTTGGAAACTTTGTATGAGAACAGAAATAGAAAAGGGGAAAGATGAAAGATGGAAGTTTGGCTGGATGGTTTAATTAACGTTTCTTCATCTTGTGAAATAAAGGGCTAATACCACTACTACACCCGAACTATGACAAAAATGCCACTTGTGTCCTATTCTTTTCAATATTCCATTTATGTCCTTTTGTATGTTCCTTTTTGTCATTTATGTCCTCCCGATTTTGTTGACCATTAAAGATAACGGTTGACCAGACAGAGGTCAAACTTTTGTTGACTTCTCCTGACATGGCAAAGCATGTGACATCAACTTAGTCACCATGTCATTGCCACATCATTTTTTACTCAAAATTATAATAAAATTATGGGGAAAAAAATGATAAATCTTATATTCAAGAATATTACTAAACAAAATTATAAAAACCCAAAAGGAAAAAAAAGAAAGTTTATCTTCCTCGACCTCGTCGTATTCTCTCCTCTACTTCCTCCTCCTGCTCGCAGCCTGGGGACGAGATAAGGTGGTCGGCATCTAGCGTCTCGGAGAGGGTGGGCATAGAGCAATTTATATTGTCCCTGATAACTCTGCCACCAACAAATTCCGGTCCATCAGCCACATCTCCTAGTCTCTTCTGTCTTCTCCACCTGCCCTGCAGGAAAACCATGGACTGGAAGCCCCCAACCAATAAGTTCTTGTTTGCTGTTTATTCAATTGGGGGTTTTCGATTGGGGTTTAGTAGATGTGTTCTAGCAATAGAATTAATGTGGCCAGTTTGTTGGGGAATCAGACATATCTAGTCGGGGAAGAAGGGTGACCTCTCCTCTTGGCGGCAACTGAATCCGCTACGCAATGAGAGCGGCCAGTGCTCGACGATGACGCCTGTTAAGCGAAAAGATGCCGACGACGTCGAACCCCCAGAAGCTGATTTGAGGGATTGGATTCGACGGTGCTCATGTCGACTGCTGCTTTATGCTCATCAAAAATCACAACGGAGGGGAAGCCGCATCCAAGCTGCCTTGTAGCTACAAATCTGTCAATCAGATGTACAGATCGAATTGGAAAAAAGCATCGTCGGATGGGAAGCTGAACGATCGGGTTCCAATCGCCAACAGTCTGCCTCTCGGCTTCCAGCAACAAGACACCATCGGATCGGCGCTCGCCGTCGCCATTTCCATCTCCTCTCCGCCGCTCCCTCTGATTTCCCCTCTCTCACGCTCGCTTTCTCTCTCTCTCTGTGGAGTTCGAAATTGTCGACGGTAGAAAAGAAAGGAGGAAAGAGAGAAATACAACTTTTTTAAAATTTATTCGTATTTTTCTTTAAATTTAAATTTGATAATTATTTATTATAGAAATTACATGTTAGATGCCATGTCATTGCTTATTAGATTTTCCGTTAACTATTAACAGTCAACTATGGTCAACACTAACAGAAAAATAGATAAGGACAGGAATGGAATATTGAAAAGAATATGACACAAGTGCCATTTTATCAATAGTTTGGGTGTTGTTATGGTATTAGCCAAAAAAAAAAGTTTTGGATTTATGATAGAGGGGGGAGCCCTTAAACAAAAACAAGGTATTTTAAAATACCTTTCCTGAATTGTTCTTGCTTGTTTTGGTGTCAAGTTATTGTTTCTGGTTGTTTCTTTAAAGATTCAAAACTTTAGTTCTTTTCGCTTAATAAAAATCGAGAACTTCCTTTTGGGAAAACCCAGGTTTAATTCCATGAGTCCCAACCGTAACATCAAAGGAAGCTTTTAAGAGGGATTGGCAGATACTTAAATTATCTAATCAAAGATTAGCAAGTTTTGGTAAGATATGGTATTTATAAGTCTGTTATGTTTAAATATGTTAGTGGTAAAAGTGGTTTATAAACTAAACAACAAGGGTTGATTGTGCAAGTAGCCACATACGTTTGAGTTTACTAGTTTTTCTTACTTTGATTGAAAAAACTTGGAAGCTTCTTTAAGATGAGTAACTTGAGTTATTATACTAAGGAAGTGAAAACTTCTGTTGAATAGAGAAAAAAAACAGCAGTAGAAGAAACAAACTTAGTAAGCAAAGAAACCAAACATAGAAAGCATTAGTAGACATATATTTGCGTTTTTAAAAGCATGGATGGCGTGAAGTGATGATGATGATGATGATGATGATGATCCATTTTAGTGATGAAAGTGACCCACCTTGATCCGTGATTGAGATTGTGGTGGCCTTTCTTTGGTGTATGATTGGGATGGTGGTGGCCTTCTTTGCTTGGTCGTTTGTTTCCTTCTTTTGGTCTCTCCTGGTCTTGGGCTCTCCTTGATCTATTCGCTTTCTATTGCTCCACCTTGCTTGGAAACTTTGTATGAGAACAGAAATAGAAAAGGGAAAAAATGGAAGATGGAAGTTTGGCTTTTTTAATTTTTACATGCTTGCTGGGGTTTTCACTCGAGCTCTGTGTATGATCTTGGATGAAGTTTGAGCGGAGGTGAATGGTTGTTTTGGTGCTTTTCTTTATTGCTTTTGGGATAAGGATGGGAATATTTGGACTACAACTCTCTCCCTCATCTGCTGCCCAGGCTGTTGTATTTATATTGGGTATTTACTGTATCATAAGTGGGAGTTTGTTCCAATTTGATTGGCCCTGGGTTTAGACTCCCTCTCTGCTTGATTCTCATTGGTGGAGAACTATGGCTACAGTAACCGACTTGATTCAGGTCGAACCAGGGTTCGAGTCAAATGGACGAACCGGTCCGGGTTGGATACAGACCTGACCGGGCCGATCTATTGACCGGACCTTGACCAATCTGATGGGCCTGACTGGGTCTTGACCAATCTGACGAGCCTTATTCGATTTGGGTTGGACTTTGATATGGGCCTGACCCAAATTAGACTTTTAATTAACTTTAATATTTTTTAATTTATTTTTATTATCTTTTGCAGGCCTATTTTCTAGACTTTTAGGGCCCAAAATGATGACTTGAGAAAACCAAATCCAAAGAGGACGGTTCTCAAAATCTGATTGCGCCCTAAAGTTTAAAAATAAAGAAAAGTTTTCAAAACCAATGGCCTTGTTAGTTTCTCTTATCTTTCTCTTATTGTAATTAGTTATGATATAATCCTTATGACGTTTATGATTATGCGATGTTGTACGTTAATTTCAATTGCTGTAATGGCTATGTATGTTTATCATAGATGTGATTTATTTATTATAATAAGATAATACTATTTCATATTTAGTTTGTCCTTTGTAAAGCGATATTCCAAACTTGATACTCCAAATTCGAAAGCCCAACGTCCAATGACCACGAACCAATCAAAGCAAACTCAAATCACAAAGATAACGAAATAAGGCAATTGCCTTACGAATTTTATCCCAACAATCGGCCTAGAATCAAAGGAGATGAGATTTCAGTTTTAATAACCTCTATTTAAATTGGAATCTTAAGACTTGCTATTGCTAATTCCAAAGATCCAAATTACATATTCTTATATCCTTATGCTAAATATTTTGAGAATGTTTTAGTAGTTCATCCAAGATTAGCAACCGCCCTCGGAAAACCGGGGTATCTCTCGCGAATCGATTTGGAGTCGCCATCGACCGTGCTTTGGGGTGGGTCCAACCTTCTTCTTCCCCCTCTCAAAACCGACTTCCCATCTCCCGAATCCAAAAATCGAACAAATGCCTAAACGAAAGATGTGAATACCCTTCGCCTCTCTCTCTCTCTCTCTTTCTCTTACGTTCTGGTGGCGGCGAGGAAAAACAAAGGAAGATTCTAGCGAAGGCGAGCAAGGAGGGTCGCCGACGGTTGATGATGACGGGGACGAAAGTAAGGTCTTTTTTTTGGCTTGCATGGTGATTTTCTTAGAAGTTTTCTCGATTTGGGTTGGATTGGTTGGATTCTAACTCTTTACCTCTCCGATTTTCTTTTGTGAGGGGAGGAAAGGGAAAGGAAAAAAAGGCGACGCGAACCAGAGTAGGGAGGCTATTTGCTCCGATCTCGGTTTACGGATTAACTTGGGTAAGTGGATTTCAAATGTTTTCGGTTTTGCATGTTGTAGATCTGAATTTTTTAGGGTTTTCCAGAGATCTAACTCTTCTGTTTTTTTTTTTATGGAGTGAAAGGGAGTTTGGCGGCAGGTCTCGTCGGCGGCAACGACGGCGAGTCGCGACAAGCCGACGATGGTAATGTGGGTTCTGCTGCATTTTTTTCGTTTTAAAAAAAAACTAGCTTTTAAATGATTCTAAAACTAGTTATCTTATTTTTGCAAGTTTAGTGTAAAAATAAAGAACTCAGGTGATATCTCTCCAAATTTTTGCTTGAACCCATGATTTAGCAAAATAAAACAAATCTTTATGCGATTTAAATTATTAATACAATACCCAATGATATTTATCTTTCTCATTTCAATTTAAAATTTATATATTTTGGCATAGAAACATTATATTTAAATTTGTACATTCTTATTATATTTTTTTGTACCCCATCGTTACTAAATAGTATGTATTCTTTCATTTTCAATTTCAAAGTTACATATTTGCATATAAAATTTATATTTAATGTGACTTAGACAATGATTTCAAAGAAAAAGTACATATAAAAACATGGTCACTGACATAGAATGATACATAATTACACCAATACGGTATAAAATCGGAAACATTTGGGTGTAATTTTTTGTACATTGATAGAGTGAAAATTGAAATCATTATGGTATTGTTTTATATCATAATAATATTCAACAGTCTATGTGATGATATTGTTGATAGACTTGCATTTTTTTTGGTTTATAGAGTGTAAAATTGAAGTTATTTATAGATCATATAAAATATATAAATATTCAATTATTATATAGTGTGGAGCCAATACTTGGAAAATAGTAGATTGGATGTCTTTGATTTGCTTTTACAAAAAAGAAATGGTAAGTATTAATAGTTATTAACTGTGTTGTTGTATTGAATGTCGTTAATTGTGCAACCATTGTGACATGCAAAATATTATGTTTGTCATTTTTTTATTATTATTTATGTCCCGAGTCTTACCTCTCAATTTCTTCCATAGATTATTATGCATACCAGAATATATTTACATTGTTCGCGAGCACCTTTATGGTGGTAAATTTTTCTCATGCTATGATGAGATTCTCGCTATTGAAGGGCCACCAATATGAAAACCGAAATTTCACTCTACTAATTTTCCGAGGATAAATAATATTTTCACGATGACCACATAAATTTTGAATCACGATTCAAATTTGGAAATATTATAAATAGTGTTACTTTTTCTGAGAATAATGGTATTTGGGTGCAAATATTCAAACACGTGATTAAGGATTGATAGTCTTTTTTTCAAGATCACATAGTATATGTTTTTTAGAACATCCAAGTGAGTTTACCAACAACAAATCACATGCCGATTTAAAAAAAAAGGTAATCAAGTTTCAATTAAATACTATACTTCCGACCATACTAGCTTATAAGCTTGCATTCATCAAACATGATGAAATTTGAAATTTTGCTTTGAATGTAATGAGGGAGAAAGAACCTATTGATGGTGGAGATAAGTTTCATTAATAGTGATAAGTGTGAAGTTACTAGTGGAGATGATAATATTGCTGATGGAGCAATAGTAAAGAAGTAAAAAGAACAAAAAAATGGGGAAAAATCCAAAAGTACCACTGTTTAAAAAAAAAATTCCAAAAATACGACACAATCCCAAAAAATTCCAAAAATACCATCCTTTTTCAAAAACCGCCACCCCGCCTGCGGTTTACACGAAAATCGTTTGTCGGGGGCGCCGTTTTCTATGCAAACCGCGGGGCTAAGGGGTGGTTATAAAAAAAAAATTGGACCAAACCGCTGGGTGGGGTGGCGGTTTGGCCAAACCGCCACCCCACCTAGCGGTTTGGTCCAATTTTTTTTTTTCCGATCAACTCCTAACTTCGGCCGAAACTTCAAACGAACGTAACTTTGCACTCGGGTATCCGATCGTAGCAAAAAAAAATTCATTTCGCATAAATTTTCAAGATCTACAACTTTTACTAGGATGAAATTTTCAAAACAGGAATTATTTGTGGATATACGGGACCTTGGGAATAATTTTACCTTTACTTTTCAGAAATCCATGTACATTTTGAAATTATGATTATGTAAAAAGTTGTAAATCTTGAAAAGTTATGCGGAATAAAAAAAAAATTCATGACATTCGGATTTGGGAGCACAAAGTTATGGCCGCCCAAAGTTTGTCGAAATAAAAAAAAGACTCGTTCGGGGTTGCAAATGACGTTTTTTCGAGACGAAGGCGGAACCCGGCGGTTCGCGGCTTGCAAGATCTCAAAAAGTTATTCGGATTCAAAAAATGGAGCCCGCAAACTTTTTGAGAACTTGCAAGCCGCAAACTGCCGAGTCTCGCCTTTCGTCAAACTTTGGCGGCCATAACTTTGTGCTCCGAAATCCAAACGTCATGAATTTTTTTTTATTCCGCATAACTTTTCATGATCTACAACTTTTAATATAATCATAATTTCAAAATGTACATGGATTTGTGAAAAGTAAAGATAAAGTTATTCTCAAGGTCCCATATATCCACAAATAATTCCTGTTTTGAAAATTTCATCCTAGTAAAAGTTGTAGATCTTGAAAAGTTATGCGAAATGAAAAAATAAATCGCTAAGATCGGATACCCGAGTTAAAGTTACATTTGTTTGAAGTTTCGGCCGAAGTTAGGAGTTGATCTAAAAAAAAAAAATCTGGACCAAACCGCCACCCCACCCAGCGGTTTGGTCCAATTTTTTTTTTATAACCGCCCCTTAGCCCCGCGATTTGCATAGAAAACCGCGCCCCGACAAGCGGTTTTCGTGTAAACCGCAGTGTGGGGTGGCGGTTTTTGAAAAAGGTGGTATTTTTGGAATTTTTTGGGATTAGGTGGTATTTTTGGCATTCTTTTTTTAAACAGTGGTATTTCTGGAAAAAGTCCAAAAAAATGCAGTAGTCTTTGACACCATGAGCATATCGGAGTTTGGTTTGATTGTGCTTTCCAGGAGTGAGTTTCATTTAGTAGTTTAGTCCTGTACTTTAAATAAAGATTTTCGTTGATGCATATGTTAGGACAACATATAATTCTATGATATAAGTTTTTTTTTTAATTCAATCATTTGAATTTTTTATGGTACCATTGTTTTGTATAACTGCTATTGTTATTTATACTATTTACGAAATATATCCGTCCAACAGGCGAGCCCAAATCTAGTACTCACATAGTCGGCTTAATTGCAAGTTTGGTCACTCAAATTGCTACAAAATTTCACGTTTACCACTCAAATTGATTTATTCCATTTATAGTCACTTAAATTAGTTGAACAGTCCAAGTTCGGACACTCTTCGTTAACCTCCGTTAGACTCCGTTAATGAAGACCGTTAAGTGAGGACGTGGCTAACAGAAAATCACAGTCAACATATTTTAACACTAAAAAACGACGACCCGACCTGCCACGTCATATTTACCCGCCATGTCTGCCCTACTTGCCCAACTCGCGAACCAACCTAATAATTGACCCAACCCCAAACCCGAGACCTGACCCCCTGAATCTAGATTCTTGGCTCTATACTATTCGCCTCGAAGAAAAGAAACGGGAGAGATCCAGGGGATCACTCATAACCAAGCATATGCTAATGTTAAGCCATGAAGCAAGCTCTCTGCATAGAGCTCCAGCAGTTTATCCCTTGAAGGCACAACGAGTGCTAGATGGGTCGAGAGAGAAGTTTCACAAACATTCCTTCAGGTTTGCAGGTGCGATTTCAAGTGTTTGATTTTCTCTATCTTTGATTTTCCATCTTTGGAACCCTTGTTTGACTTTTAGGGATTGCCATGGATCCTTTCCTTTAGGAATTTGGTACTTGGAAAATCACTGCTGCTGAACAATGTGGTGGTCGGGATGGTGGTGGACTCCTGTGTTATCGACGGCGGCAGCTGTGCTGCTTCCGTTAATCGTCTTCTCCAGGTTTATGTTCCTTGAGAGGAGGGAATCTGGAAGTGGGAGCTCAAATGTCTCTTCACAATCTGCGCCAACCACACGAGACAAAGCTTCCGGTTCTGAGCTTAGTCCCGAATCTGCCTCACTGCCTCTTCCCGCTGGAGTGTACGAGGTGTTCGTGAGCTGTACAAGTCCTGAAATTCAGAACAATTTCGGCGATTTCCTCTACAACAACCTGGCTCGTTCGAAAATTCGGACGTTTGGAAACGAGGAGCAGCTTCCCAAAGGCCAGAGCCAAGAATCTAGATTCAGGGGTCAGGTCTCAGGTTTGGGGTTGGGTCAATTGTTGGGTTGGTTCGCGCCTCGCGGGTTGGGCAAGTAGGGCTGACATGGCGGGTAAATATGACGTGGCGGGTCAGGTCATTGTTTTTTAGTGTTAAAATATGATGACTGTGATTTTCTGTTAGCAACGTCATCACTTAACGGTCGTCATTAACGGAGTCTAACGGAGAGTGACCAAACTTGGAATGTGCAACTAATTTAAGTGACTATAAACGGAATAAATTAATTTGATGGCAAACGTAAAATCTTGTAGCAATTCGAGTGACCAAACTTGCAATTAAGCCCACATAGTCACATGATCCACAAACCACGCAGCTAACTAATCACATCTATGATCTATGGATAATTGTAATGGCACGTTGGGCTCGTATCGGTCCAAAGCTGCGTTACAGAATGGGCCGGGCCGCTAGATCCAAAGTAGATCTATAGATGGCAGATGCCTAGAGAAAAAGCCCAAGAATGATCGGCCCAAACATATTTAAACTTTCAAAATTTTCAATTTAAATTAGAAACGGCAATTTGCATCTCTCTCTCCACAAACCACAGTTACCCTTTTTCCTTTTAGCATATCCCGCCAACTTTTTTTTTTTCTGATTCTTCATTTCCCGCCTCCCTGCTTGACATCTTTCTCCACTCCTCCCCACAGGCCACAGCCGCCGCTTCTAATCTTCTCCGAGATCCCGCTGCGAAATCTCTGACTCGACCGACGAACCTCTCGAACTGAATTGACGAAATGGCCGGTCAGTCTGGCTCTCAGCTCTCGCTCTTCACTCCCGACGAGGTTCGTCTTTTCTGCGGGCATCCATTTCGTCCATGGCTAGGATTCGACTGGCACAGGTTTTTCACCGAGTACACTAACTTCATATGAATTTTCTTTTGTTTCCGCGCAGGTGGAGTTCGTGGCGGAAGACGAGTTGGTCGAGATCGTCCCGAATCTGAGAATGGACTCGCTCAATTTCATCTGTGTATCTCCCCTCGTAACCCTAATTTTCAATCAGCTGAAACTGTTTAAATTTAGGCGATTACCTACTAATAGTAAATGTTACAGGGAGATTACGGCCCGTTCTATCCACAAATAGCCATTCAGGTTCCTTTGTGGTTAGCTCTTGCGCTGAAGAAGCGAGGGAAGTGCACGATTCGGCCTCCACAGTGGATGTCCATCGGTTAGTTCCGGTCAATTGTGGTTTCTTGTTTTTGCTGCAATTCAATACAATTTCGATGCGCTGATCTCTTCATTTTGTTGAAAATCGAATTTTAAGATGCTATATTGCTATATTTTGTGTGAATCAGAGAACTTGACTCAGGTGCTCGAAGGGGAAAGAGAATCTCATGCATTTCAGACATTGCCATTCCATTATGTCGAAATCTCCAGACTTCTTTTTGACCGGTAACTACTCGAGCTCTCTTAGTGTTCGTACGTTGACATGCCCAAGTTGAAAATTTGACTATAAGGTTTTGGATTTTGTGGTGGGCAGTGCACGAGATGACATTCCTGACGTATACATGGCAAGTTTTAAAATTTGGACTCAGATTTCTTCTCAGCCGTAGCTAGGGATTTTGTTGGAGTAAGGAACTTGATGTAGTTTTGTTAACTCTGTAGGTGAGATCGCTTGTTGAAGACATCCGGGATGTGAGGTTTCATAAGGTCGAAACAAACTTGGAAAACTTCACTGCATCTGCAGTAACGGTATGCTTCTTTTTTCATTCAATACTGGAGTAAAATTGCTAGCTTATTGAAGTTTAAGTACGCTAGGAATTGCTCACTTGTGTGTCAAACTGGAACTTTATTGTAACTTAGCTAATATCCGGTGCTGACTTCTTGTAATATATGTTTTCCGTATGCTGCAGTATCACTTTTTTTTTTTTTTGTGTGGTAATGGTGATAGCTGCAGTATCACTTTTATCTTGTGTTTCTCTGGTCTGATAACCAATCTTGAGCTAAATCCATTAGTTTCTTTGAGGCTGGTGATCTCTCTCTCTGGATGGCGTTGCACTTACCAGTTCCTGTCTCATTGAACTCTTCCTTGGTATTGCAGTGGAAAAATATGGCTGCTATGGAAGTGAATATAATCCGAGCCTTCTCAGGGAGAGCCCTACAAGCATTTTACAGACACGAGAATGAGCAGGCCGTACCAGATCTTGACAGAACTCAAGATAGACAGCCCCAAAATCTTAATGACAGGCCTAGAGTATGTCGTTCTTTTTGCTGTATTCCAATATTTCCACTCCACCATTGGATCGATAAAATAGTGTTCATATCATGTTTGCTGGATTATTGCCCTACTATTGTTTTCCTTTGGAGGGCTTACTGTCTCTTTGTTGTTCCTTTGCAGCGTAATCTAAGGCCCCGGTAATGTAGCATGGCAGATCAAGCTGGAAATACTAACCTCGACGAGAAGCCGCACAAGGTAGTCTGCTTTCCTTTGATTACTTGGTGGTTCTCTGGCTATTATAGAGAAGTCTTGCCTAGGTAATTGAAATGACCAGATTCTCATGAACTAATGGAATCCTAGGTCAATATTGTATGGTGTAGTATTCAAATTGTGTAATCTTTATATGGGAATGCAATGGTCCAGCATATCTTCCTTCAAACTAGAAGTGGAGGAATCTTTGTTTCACCAAAGCTAAGTCAGACATTTTACGAGGTTCGATTTACATCTTTGTTATGATTAGGCTCCAACCCTGTGTTAGTGAGTGGCTTGTCCATATCACATTTGATAATATTATCTGCCGAGGAGTCCAGGCTTGTGTATCAGAAACCACAACCTAGATCCCATCTCGGTATTAAATTATTCATAGCATTTTACTTGAACCGAAATGGTTGACATGTTCGTCATATCCATAGTAGGGATGTTTGGTATGACAGAAGCTTTAGTTATATTATAGTTGTTTAGGTTTGAATAATGCATTCTCGTTTGCCATTGTGATTAGTTTATTACCAGCTGCAATAATTAGATTCGCTCGTTTTCCTTCACCTTCATTTTTTTTAGTGTGGCGATGATTAGAGAGACTTTCCTTTTTGTCAATGATTAGATTCCGGACAAGAGATGGAATGAACACTAGGCAGTAGTTTATTGTTATAGTCGTCACATATTTGAAGCTTCGTATGTAGTATATAGACGACGGTCGAGGGAAAGTATATGGTGGTGCATTCCTTTTGGTGTAGCGCCTGCATTCCTTTTGAAGGATTATATGATACATTTGGAGGTGGTTTAGGGAATATATAAGTGGTAAACACAACTTTTGTTCTTTTTGCCAACATCCTAATCTGGTGCTAGGTTGTCGGGTTAGGTTGTTGTCAGATAATTTTTTTTCCTAAGGGTGATATAGGTTTGGTTTTTAATTAGGTTCTACTGTCTTAAATGATTCAAATCTAAGACCTACAGGTTCAAGACCTTATTTGCGGCAAATTTTAGAGTGGGGAAGGTGTCCGGGTGAATTACAAAAGTACTTACTAGTACGAGAGAAGAGAAAATATATCAAAATTAGTTGGACTCGATGATTGACATCGCTCAGGACATGACTTAAAACCCATTATTATCATAGTAGGCCAATGAAGGAGGGCATAGTTGAAAACTTGAAAGTTTCCTGTGGGTGAACATGACTTGCACAAATGTTGTAGGGCATAGGGACTAACTGATTTCGTTTTGCTTTACATTATAAAAACGGGTAAAGAAGGGCAAATCGCCAAATCGGATCCCCTTTTGGTAAAGGAAATTCAATTGATGGAGGCTGCCAGGCTGCCAAACACAGCCATATGATATAACCTGTTGTTTTCTTTTCAATAAGAAATCATATGCGTTGCTTCAAGTGCCAATTGTTGAACCTTTTATTTTCTTTCCTTTTTTGGAGATATGATTTTTTGTTTGTTACCAGTGTTGTCCGTTTGTGTCTGCAATTTTCAATTTTGAGATAAAATAAAATTAAAACAAAAGAAGAAAAAGATCAAGTTCTCAACCCTGCTAATTGGCTTGATCGAGCAAATTGGTTTAAGGATATTGATCTGATTGCTTTAGTCCGGTTTATCCGTGAAAATAGTCATTATATTATTTATATATTTTTAAATTATATTAAATTTCATCTAACATATAACATTACACCAAAAGAACATGTTGTACTTGGATCCAACCTATAGTAAAAATTCACATACATTTATATAACCTCAATATTTAAATGCTTAACATGGAATTTCTAAGATAGGTTTAGGTGAAAAGAAAAACAAAAAAGATGGGGCATTTCGCAAACCAAAGAAGAAAAAAACAATGTCCTATGATCTCCAATCTAATAACCTTGCAGCGGGACAATACATAAGTATGTGATCCATTTTTCTCATTCGATCATAGAATCAAACCGAGTCCACTCTCGAATCGAGCCACTGGTTGACAACATTGAAAAAGATTAAAGCATTTGTGATTACACGGGAAATACTTTAGTTTGTTGGTAAAATGCGGTTAGAAGTCAGCTCAACCGCGTGACCCAGAAAAGGGAAAACAAAGTGGGTGAGTGGTCCTCCAAGTTACCTCGAGCCCACGGGATTCCTGAGAGCGGTCTGGTCTTAATTGGCCGACCGAACCACTTTCCTAAAAAAAGGTCAAAATCATAACGAGCTGGTTTTGGCCATTTTCTAGGCCTTTTATCTATCATTGAATACAAACTCGATTGTTTCTGTTTGTGTCTATCTAAAACCTTTCCCTGAAGTACCAAACCAAAGAGGCAGTTATATTATGCTTCTTTCCTTCCATATCTCTTTCCCTACCACCTACCACCGAGCTGTTTCTATGGTCCACAATGTCAATTGCCAAGCCAACGTCCTTGTCAAACTTTGGTATGATGCTGACCTACTAGAGATGCATATGCACTGCCTGTGATATCGGATCGCGTGCTTGCGTTATTCTTTTAAATAAGTGAAATTGCAATCTCAGAAGAATGAATTGTTCGAAATTATGTGAAATAATACAAGTTTTTAACGATTCTATCGACGGGAAGAATCGGACACACCCAAATCATGCATGTGATTGAACTTATACGGTATATATGATAGTACGTGTTGTTATTGAGTTAAAGCCATATACACTGTGCATGTTTCTAGCGTTTCGCATGGTATCATCAAATGGTACAAGTCTACAAAACTCATTTGCATAAACAATATTTTTGTGTAGATACGAAACGAGCCCTTACACGCTGGGACATTAGGGAATGTAATTGCATATGAATTCGGAACTCCTAAAGTTTTTGAACAGGCAAATCATACGTACACACCGATCATTTCCCTAACGATGGAGGATGTAGGCAAACCCATAGCAAAGCCATAAGAACCAGAAGCTTGTGTGGCTCCAATCTGGAAGACAACCATCCGATTTCCATTTGCAGTAACATAACAGGAGCAATGACTTGTTATTTTAATTCTGTTTTGAAGCTCATTGTAAGAAATGAAAGTGCTTTGAGCGTGGATGAAAAATCCGAGATTTCAAATTATATTCATTTGTCCTTCTCAAAGAAAAATTCTCTTCTATGAATGTTTGCAAGAGGTCTTCCCAAATTATGAACGTGTTGTGAGGAACGAAGATGAGAAATTGAGAATCCATTCCCTTGCAATAGGCCCCCCTCTCTCTCTCTCTCTCAAAGTCATCTTCCAACTAGGAAAGCAAGGTGCTTAATTAACAATTAATTGGCTATTCTGTGTATTATAAAACCCTAATTAGTGACTTCATTCAAATTGCATGAGTTGCTTGCCCTCCAATGTTTAAAAAAGAGAGGAAAGAGGAATCCTTTCATTTTTATTATTCCTTTTCACCAAAAGCAAGCAGCCCCCCAACTCCAAGGTGACTTGGTCTCCAAATTCTGATCTGCTGCAGAATGGCGAAACCATATTATTGTTTACTTCCTCCATTCCTCCTCTCCTTTTATTTTATTCCCTTCCCTACTCATTACATTATTGTTATTCCCCATCTTGAATGATCAAGTGACATATGAAGAAACTTCAAAGTTCAAACCTATATTAATAAACGTCCATGATTTTTACCTGCCAGTCATAGTTGTTTAATTAACGTTTACAATATTATGAAAAATATAATGTCTGATTAAATTGGCAATTTCTAGTATATTTGGCAGATAATATGCAAGCATGATGCATATTTGAATATATTTTATGACTTTCATTTTCTCTAAACAATAATATGATCGATTATACTACTATACATCCCCATATTAACTTATTATCCGGTAAGCTATCCTAAAAGGCTAAAACAATGTATTGGTTTCGTTCTAAGAAGGGAAAATGGAATTGTATAAATTAATGCAAAAAATTTCAATTTGATACCTGCCGTTAAGTTTAAGGATGGAAAATATAACGATGCAATCGAAAATTGATTTATCTGATTTAGTTGCAACTAAAAAAATTTAATTGGTTGACTTAAATGGTTGATTAGTATAGTATGCAACAAAACTAATACTTACATGGTATCCGGTACAATTCGTCCATTAAAAACCATTGGCAAAACAAACCTAATTCTCCTTCCTTTACCCCCCATTTCCCCGAAACACGTCATTTGCATTTCAAACAATACGCGTGAAATAGACAAGCAGAGAGTAAAATCCAAGCACTGCAATCACATGACGAAGGGAAGAAAGAAACGACGGAAAATTTGCATTGATTCTCTGTAATAATAATAATAAAACGTGGTTTGTAGTTTCTACGAAATTGAACTTTTTTTCAATTAATTACAAAAAAATAATAATTCCGGGACGTTGCCAATTTCAAGTACACTATGTTGGAAATTTGGTTGAACCGGACTAACCAAGTCCAACCGGTTTTGGTTTGGACCGACCAACCGGTTTGGTATTAGACCGACCGAACCGATATTCTAATTCCGTGAAGGGACACATCTCTTTGGCCTAGTGACGGTTGCATTATTTTATGGATAAGGATAACCTTATGGATAGAGGCAACCCTTCATATGGATAATGATAACCTTTCATATGGATAGAGGCAACCTTTCATATGGATAAAGGCAACCTTTCGTATGGATAAAGGCAACCTTTCATGAAACAATGCATGGATTCGGCCCCTATAAATATGTGTGGGGTGGATGATGCCACATACCATCAAACATATTCTTCTTCTTTCTTCCAAAAATTTCTAAGTATGCTTAAGTGTTCTTGAGCCTGGAACCTAAAGTGGTGATAGTTTTATCCTCGGGAGAAATTTCTTGTAACCCAAGGCTTTGTAGAGGGTGGAAATATTCTTTTCGGAAAGTGAACGTAGTTCACGACTCTATCATAATCCTAGTCACCCGGTCTCGGGCTATCGTACTTGTACCCTCGTCCCTAAAAGTTCCAACAATCGAAAAGAATAATTTTCCGGTACGATGGCTCGAACCGCTCTTTACAAGAAACCGGTTCCGATCTATGGAATTATGAGAATGTTCGATGATGGGTTTTTCATCGATGGCAGTAGAAGATGGGTTTTCTTCGTACTTATCTCATGGTGTATTCCATATCCGGAAGGTAACTTGGAAGAGGGATGATTCGAAGATGAGGAAGAAGGAGAATGATTCGTAAAATGGAGAAATAGAAGAATGGAAATTGCCTTTGGGTAGGTCACATACTCAATGGTTAATTGGCCTAATTCTCTATTCGACATTTACGAAGTTCTAGATAAACTTGGATTTGTCTAGTGGTTTGGTGGTGTGATTTTGTCTAGTGGTTTACGTTAAACCAAAGAGACAAAATTGTGTATACAATGTTTGATGATTCTGGTAATAGAGTCGTTGTGTTTGTATGTAAATGACATATTTATCTTTGGGACCAATCAAAGATAAGTGATTTTGTCAAGTGGTTTATGTTATTTTAAACCAAAGAGACAAAATGTGTACACAATTTATGATGATTCTGGTAATGAAGTCATCGTACATTTGTATGTATAAGACATGCTTATCTTTGGAACCAATAAAAGATAAGTGAACTTTAATAAAAAGTTGTTATTTCAATTCTCCATGTAGGATATGGGGGAGGCAAGTGTGATTCTGTGTATTGTATCAAGCGGAACGACAAGAAAGAGTCCTTCTCTCAATTTTTCTGCACGAGAAGGTACTTGCATAAATTCCATAGTAGGAATTGTAGTGAGTTCAAGACCCCAATGGATCCAAGTATGGAACTTATGGTTAATACTGAAAATCAGTTTTACAACTAGAGTATTCCATGTTAAATTGAGGGCTCGATGTATGCATGATTTACATGATGCTAGATATCGCATATGCGATAGAACAATTAAGTTGGTATGTGATGAGTCCTAGTTCTCATCATTTGAAATGAAATGAGGCGTGTACTAGGATATGTCAAAGGCACACTGTATTGACTTATAGTGGCTTTCCATCAATTTTGGAAAGGATTTGTTTATGTTAGTTGGATTTCTCATGTTAAAGGTGATACTTCAACATTGAGATGGGTCCTCTTGCTTGGGAGAGGTGCCATAATTTGGGCCTCTAGAAAGCAAACTTGCATCACTAAGTTTCACTATGGAATCAAAATTTGTGTGGCCTTATTTCTCTTAGAGAAGAGACATAATTGTTGAGAGGTTTGGTTTATGACATATATTTATGGCCTAAACCAATCTCACCTATTACTATCTTTTGTGATAGTAATGCTAATTTGGCTAAGGCATATAGTCAAGAGAAAATGACAAGTACGGTCATGTGGGAGTAAGGCATGGTAAAAGCTGTGAACTGATCATTCATAGTGTTGTGTCTAGACAGTATGACCAAACTCAAAATAATTTGGTTGATAATTTGACGAAGTGGTTAACTAGTGACTTGGTGATCAAGTCTGTGAAAGGGATGGGTTAAAGTCCATATAATTTCTGGTAATGGGACACCCAATTCCCCTCTAATACAACGTTAGAGGCTGAATTCAATGTGGAAAGCTTATTATCAGAAATTGAAGCACACAATTTTTCATCCCGAGGTATGTGCTTGTTATCCTGCATGAGAGAAGAGGATGAAATTCAAAATTTCTTAATTGAATCTTTGAAAAAGTGTATTATGCGGGTACACGAATAAGAGATTCAACCTACGTAAGCATGAAGTGTAGCCGCTTCAAGAAACCCGGACTTAGGTTTCGTGTGCGCTTATGAGAAGGATTGGACACATGGCGGATAATAGTGTCAAGGCGCTTAGAAGTTTTGAAAACTTAAGTGTATATTATCTTCGAATATTCATATGAGTCAATGGGTTCAATCGTTACCGACACCCTTTGTATTCGAGTATTCGTCAAGTGTAATATACTAAGGTGAAAATTCAATCGTCACGACATTTTCATTTATGCTTAATTTTTGTTGGAAGAATGTTGTGATTTTAGTGAATTCTATGAATACACTAAAATGGGGGAGGAATGTTGGAAATTTGGTTGAACCGGACTAACCAAGTCCAACCGGTTTTGGTTTGGACCGACCAACCGGTTTGGTATTAGACCGACTGAACCGATATTCTAATTCCGTGAAGGGACACATCTCTTTGGCCTAGTGGCGGTTGCATTATTTTATGGATAAGGATAACCTTATGGATAGAGGCAACCCTTCATATGGATAATGATAACCTTTCATATGGATAGAGGCAACCTTTCATATGGATAAAGGCAACCTTTCGTATGGATAAAGGCAACCTTTCATGAAACAATGCATGGATTCGGCCCCTATAAATATGTGTGGGGTGGATGATGCCACATACCATCAAACATATTCTTCTTCTTTCTTCCAAAAATTTCTAAGTATGCTTTAGTGTTCTTGAGCCTGGAACCTAAAGTGGTGATAGTTTTATCATCGGGAGAAATTTCCTGTAACCCAAGGCTTTGTAGAGGGTGGAAATATTCTTTTCGGAAAGTGAACGTAGTTCACGACTCTATCATAATCCTAGTCACCCGGTCTCGACCTATCGTACTTGTACCCTCGTCCCTAAAAGTTCCAACACACTACTACAAGAATCCTTTTAATTCTTTCTCCGATGGGTTGTTCACTGAACCAAAACAGGGCAGCAAGTAGAACATAACCACCTGCTCTGCTCGAATATTCCAGCAGTGTAAATCTTCTGCTCCTTTCCTCCTCCTTTCCATAGTTTTGGTGGCGGAGTCACTAATCTGAATATGAGAGGCTAAAAAATTAAATTTGAGAGATTTGAACCATTGTATTTGTCGACGGAAACTAGAATCTTATCAATCATTCAATTGCTCAATTTTTCAAATGTATAACAAATTTAACATGTATCTTTGTCATTTTACTTACATATGAAAGTCGGAGTTTTAAACCATATCCTAATTTTAAACGTAGCAACGGAACATAATTGCGGTGCTTGTTATGGAGGGGCTAATGATAAGGAATCTCTAAACGTAAGTACTCATCCCGATTTGTCTTGAAATGGCTAGATAAAATCAAACAAAAGAAACGATCGTTCAATGAGCAAAAAATGACGACATAAATTGTGAATGATATCAATAACCGAGACCCAGACGGTAGTATTTCATTAATCTACGCTCTGATTTACAAGTTATAAGAGCTAAAACTTTTTTAACAAAGGGGAAAAAGAGGTAACAACTAACAACAAAACTCAGTTTTTAGAAAATATTTTCTTTCCGTGAGCTGTTTATGCTATTAATTTCCATTTTCCACAAATTGACAATAAATAACCTTTGCAAAGAACGAATTTAACCGAAACACAAACGAATTAAAACCTCATTCCCGTCCACATCCATTCCCCCCCTTTCATCTTATCCACCTTTCTTTTCCGTTTTTACCTTTTTACCACGGCCAGTGGTGGCTTACTTGCGCATAAAGCAACAGATAGAAACAGACGAAACCAAAGGCTATATCCGTCATTTCTCTCCATCTCCCCTTCCAAAGTTTATATTAACCCCGGCCTCCTTCTTCTCCACCTGATTTCTCATTCTTGAAGAGGGGTTTTTCCTTTTCTCAATAAAACCTCTTCTCTTCTCTTCCTTCCTTCCTTCCTCTCTGAAAATCATCTAATCATTTGCCTTCATACCCTCTCCGTCAATCGCCCGCCGCCGGCGCCCTGTTGTCCGTTAGGAATTAGTAATTTCCGAGCAACAGAGAGCCTGACCGGGAAAGGAAACTATTCGTTTTCCCCCCACCTTTTCTTCTTCCCCATTCCTGATTCCGGTTTGAATGTTACCGGAGAAAGCCTCGTCGTCGGAGTTCTCCTTACGTATGTGAATGATGAGCTAACATTTAATTCATTTCCCTGCCGTAATTGTAAAATAAGAAAGAGAGGAATTGAATTGTTAATTGTTCGGAGGGTTTTTTGGGGTTGGGGTTGGGGAGGGAGCGAGGTTCGGCGTTTGGGGTTTGGCTCCCGCAGGGAGAGATCCTCGAAACGACGGCGTGAGATTTTGCGGCGTCGTTTCGTTTGAGGGAGAAGAAACGGGGGGTAAAATTCGGCCGGCGACGAGATGTGTGCGGCGGCGGCGACGGGGGAGTGGTGGGCGAGAGGGATAGTTGGGCAGATCGGGGGAGGGTTAAGCCACGAGAGCGAGAACGATTTGGCTCTCTTGGTCAGCGATTTCCTCGAGAACGGCGGCAGTAGCGGCGGCGCTGAGTCCTGGTGCAGTAGCGATAGCGAGTCGGGGCTCTCCGATCTCCATTCCCTTGCCCATAAGATTACGGTGAGAAGAAGACTTCCCAATTCTCCCCAATTTTAATGTTTTTGGGGTTTCCCCCTCGCAGCGTTGGCTTTGAATTGAGAATTGAATGAGGGCCAATTATCCTGTTCATTAATTTTGAATTTCGATTCTTCAATTTCGTCCTTTATGTGGCAATGATTACATATATGGTAAGAATTTTTGGGGAATTATGCTCAAACCCCTAATCAATTAAGTTTGTTGTGGTTAAAAAATTCCTGCTTTTCACTTCTTCTTTGTTTCCTTTTGATTCATGGCAAAGTGGAAAACAGAATTCCATATGGGATTACCTCTTGAAAGTTGGTTTCACTGTGGTAACGTGGAGGGCTTACAAGCCTATAAATTCATTCCTAACTACATGCCGTTGCATATAGTTCAACATTGCCTCACTTGGGAACCTGGGGATGGAGATTTTGGTTCATAAAGTCTTGCCCTTTCTGGTTTTTGCTCATTGGGAAATGTCATGAATCCAATGCCTCTGTCAATAGCGTGTCAGTGTTTTACCTTCATAGGTTCTAATGGTATGTCATAGAAACTAACCGTGATGCCTGAGAATTTAACATTTGTTTTCCCTCTCGTGTTTGGCAGTTCTATAAGCACTCGGTGACCCCCTACGAGAGCGAATTGCTGTCGCTGGTGCATTCTCTCATCGTCTCCATCAAGGAGACTGATCTTCATCTTGTGGAGTCCGGTTCTTGCAATGCCAGCTGCATCAGGTTTTCCTTGGTGAAGCTCTTGAGATTTTCTGGATATGATGCTGCTGTCTGCTCATCTAAGTGGCAGGGTAGTGCCAAGGTCCCAGGAGGTACGCTACTTCTTCTACATATGTAAGATTATCATGTTGTTGGGTTGTATGTTTGCATCAGGATTGGATAGAATTGTGTAGTTCAGAACGGACGAGTTATCATCCAAGTAATTTTGATTCGAGTGCCTAAAGTCATGTACAACCAAATGCTAATCTAACCATTATCTTCTGAACTAGTATCTAAACTGGAAGGTCATAGGATGTTGTTCTGCTTCTACAATTGAGCTTTATGAGATGTTGCCTTCCTCAATTGTTTGCTGAGAAATGTAGAATAAATATGCCAAATGCAGGTGATTATGAATATATTGATGTCATCAACCTCAGCGAAGCTGGAATTTCAGAACGTCTGATCATCGACATCGACTTCAGAAGCCACTTCGAAATAGCTAGAGCAGTCGACTCGTACGATCGGATACTGCAGCTACTTCCCGTGGTCTATGTGGGGTCATTGCCCCGCCTGAAGCAGTATCTTCAGGTCATGGTCGATGGAGCCAGGTCCTCGCTGAAACAAAACTCAATGCCTCTTCCTCCATGGAGATCCCTGGCTTATCTGCAAGCCAAATGGCAGTCTCCGTATCAGAGACTGTTCGCCCCAGATGGGCGGCACAGCTTGTCGAGCAGCAGCAGCAGCAGCGTTTCCACGTCATCGTCGTCCGACCACAACTGGCAGTGTGGTGGGCATCTCAGAAGGCTGCAGTCCTCTATTCACTACGAACTCGAGGAAGAACGCCTTCTGAAGCCTCTGAACAATGACAACAACAACAACAGGATGGTTAAGCGGGAGAGGCGCCGGAGATACTCCTTGTTGAGGGGTGGTCTCTGAAGAGAGAAAAAAGACGTCTCTGCAGAGAGTGTATAGAGAAATTCGGCTGTCGGAAATGGGAAGTTCCATTTCTTCTTCACATTTTTCCCCGGGAAGAGTTTTCTTTTTCTTTAACAAAGATTGTATTGCGGCTTTTCTTTCTTCTTCTTCTTCGGTTCTTTTTGCCCTGAGAGAGATATAAATCGTCGGCGGGAGCAGAGTTCAAACAGAGTATACAAGGAATAACAAGACAAGAGGCATTTTTCTTCTGTATCGTATACTGTTTTCACATTTCATCGCAACAAGTTGAGGGGAATCCGTGCGTCACAAGGACTAACCTACCAGCAGCAGAGAATCAAGAAGTCGTCTTCAAACCCATAGAAAGTTCTTTTTACATTGTTTTTTTATGGTTCTTTTTACATTGTTGTGTTACAGTTTTGATTGTTATTCCTTGCCAGGTATTTGGTTGGCCAAGGAATTCTTTTCTGTTTTCTTCTTCTTCTTCTGTTCTTCATTATCATCTGTATACGAAACAAATAATTGTGAGGTATCTGTTAGCAATTACAGAAATTATTATAAGTCAATGTCGGAGATTAGTGGTTGGTTTTTGTTTAATTAGTGGAAGATGTTTGGGAAATGGTCTCTCTTAACGTTGTTAGGACATGTGCATTTGTGGGAATCTCTGAGAGGTATGTATTCAAGGAAGAAAGAACACGTATATGTGTATGGCTGGGAATGGCTCTGTGGAGTAAAATAAGAGCTGCTGGCCATGTGCGCTACTCTGGCCGTGCTTCAGAATATTATTAGATTACAGTGAAGATGGGGTATTTGGATTGGATATCCTGTTGATAAATTTTTTAAGGAAAAGAGAGATTGGGTGTGCTGGCAATATCTTAAATCTCGAACTGGTTGTCAGGCTGCTGATCGATTCTACCTGAAACTGTTTTGTCTCTTTCTCTTGTTCTGCTCCAACTACGTGGGGAGGGGTTTTTGTCTCTTTGTGTAGTCCTTTCGTGGGCCTTCCGGCTAAAGGGTAAAGCCCGGGGGTGCTAAGTTAGAAGTCAGAACAAGGGAGATTTGGGTTGGGCCGAAGTGGGCCCAAATGTGGTCTGAACCATATTTTGAGTTTGAGAAGAAGAAGTCATTGCAGGAAGTTAATCATCGCTGGAAATCGTCCAGCCCAGAAATCGTCTAAAGCCCAGAAATCGTCGTCGGAAAAGAGAGGTTGGAAGAGAAGCAAGTATTCGTAAAAAAAAAAAAAAAAAAAAAAAGGGAAGAGAAGGAAGTGTTGGTCAAACTTGTCGAGAGGATAAAGTTGGAATTATGAAAAATTAATAGGAACAAGTTTAAAGGAACCGAAAAAAAAGTTTCAAAATAGTTGGGAGCAGCTTTTTTAAATCCAACGAGTGAGGTGTTTTTCCGGCGAGAAAAACTAGATGAACAGAATTGAATTTTGCACCTTTTTGACTTCCAAACAAACGATTAACAAACACGGTCCACACCTCTTTGAACAAAGTTCAAACAAGGGTGTTCGATGTTCTTGGTGATCTACGAGGAAAACTAAATTACATTAATTCTACTCCTATGGAGGTTCAGCGAGAGCTCCGAAACTACAACTATGGCTACATTTGCAGAGGAAAGATAAAGATAAAAGAATAAAATTTGACAATAGGTTGTCTAGTGTGATTTTGGCGAACCCTTTCTCTGTCATCTTCACCTCCTATTTATAGCCACCAGAAGTAACTGCCACAAGAAACTGCTCTGCTGACGTGGAGTGACGGTTACCCTCCCAACTGCTATGACGGTTACCCTGATGTTGGATGTAGACCCTCTTCCACATTGGCCCCTCCTCTTGAGACCTCACTCCATGCTCTTGGTATCTCCTCCGTAGCTTTGCTTGTCTATAGAGAAATAAATGGCTAAGGCATGAAAGCAGACCACAAGCCACATATGGGTGGGTACTCGAATCACTTGAGTCAAAATGGAAAAAATACTTCACCATTACGAGAGTAGGGAGACCACATGCTCACATGACCCCCCTTGACCATCTCATGAGGCTGGTGCCATGGTAGCCCCCTGGGGGTGACAAGGCGGTATGATGGCCACCCCCCTTTGCGTGTCATGGGGGTGGTGGTATGATGTTCACCCCCCTTACCACGTCCTGTGGGTGGTTTCCATACTCCTTGTCTTAGCCAAATTCGACCATCAACATCCCCTTTGTCACGTCCTGGGGGCCACCCCCCTTAGTACCTCCTGGGGGTGGCTGTATGATGCCATGGTAGCCCCCTAGGGGTGACAAGGCAGTATGATGCCCACCCCCCTTTGTCACGTCCTGGGGGCCACCCCCTTAGTACCTCCTGGGGGTGGCTGTATGATGCCATGGTAGCCCCCTGGGGGTGACAAGGCGGTATGATGCCCACCCCCCTTTGCGTGTCATGGGGGTGGTGGTATGATGTCCACCCCCCTTACCACGTCCTGTGGGTGGTTTTCCATACTCCTTGTCTTAGCCAAATTCGACCATCAACATCCCCCCTTTGTCACGTCCTGGGGGCCACCCCCCTTAGTACCTCTTGGGGGTGGCTGTATGATGCCCACCCCCCTTACCACGTCCTGGGGGTGGTGTGATGGTGGCCACCCCCCTTTGTATCTCCTGGGGGTGGTGTGATGGTGACCACCCCCTTTGCGTGTCATGGGGTGGCTCCCATACTTAGCCAAATTTGGAGATACATGGCGCTCGTGGTGGCACGGAGTAATGGGCCCAAAAATCCAATCTCCATGGCCCACTCAACTGATTTAAACTGATATGATTAAGTTGGCCTATAAAGCCATTTAATTCCTTGTTTTTAATCGATGTGGTACAAGATTAATTTTTATGGGTAAACAGAAGGTTTAGACTTCAAATTCGTCATTTATTTATTCCCTTTACAAATGAAGGATTTGAGCAAATTTCTAATCCAAATTCCTCATCCAAACTTTTTCAATGAACTAGGACTGTGTGATAATAAATGAAACACTCATAAAATTTATCAATTTTATAAGAAAATATTGAATATGACCAGTCATTGTTCTAAATTTATTTCTATCTGAATTAAATTATTTTCCATACACATCATTTTTAGTGGACTAATGTTCAATTTTATTAATAAAAAATTATCAATAATTAATGAACTTCCTAAGACGAAAAGGTACAACAGAGGAATGAGGGTACCAATTGTAAAATCAATTGACACGAAACATCATTATATTCATATGAAAATCTACTCAACAATAATTATATCAGTTATCCAAAATTTCTTCGAATGATCATTCCCTCTTGTTCTTTATGTGAAGTTCCATTGTGTTCAAATTGTATATAGCATCATATTGAAAAGAATATCGATAATCGATCTCGATAACTAACATATTATTTTTTACGTCACGAACACGTTATTGCACATCTACGTATTCAGTTTCTTTGTTACGTAAGATTCTTAACAAAACAAAACGAAACGAGATCTACATCCAAACATAATTATACTCCATAGGGTTAACTAGCTCATAGTATAGAAACAGCCAAACATTTCTCCCGTTTTATTCAATCAATTAGGACCATGATTTGTGATTACAGCTAACAATATGATTTTTCATCCAACTGCTCAATCTCTTCTTTTTGTTCACCACCACATGTAACTATAATCTGCCTCAATCGGTCAGTCTAAGGATTCACGACATGCAGACCAGCTTGCTCCCACGCCAGAATCACTTCGCTTTTGGTTGCATAAGCCCTGCCAAATGGATCATAGTAAATCTGCACAGGACAACAAACCAACCCCAAATAAGAAAAAACTGCAAGAAGACAGAGACTAGACCGCGCGTCCAGATCTCTGCAATCTCCCTCTCTGTGTCTATACCAAAGGATTTTCCTTCGAATAATGGACGATGAGAATTTGAACTCGAAAAAAAGAAGACGTAATAATTTTAATAAGAGAAGAAGAAGACGAAGAAACAGGATATGTAAACTCACTCGATAAACTCTGCCGGTGGGCATGGTTCGTTCTTCGACAACCCAGCCAGGGAGCAGCCAGTCGTAGCGAGGCGAGCTGGTATGGTCGTAGAAGAGAGAAGTTGCGCCTTCGACACGCGGCCTTCCTCCCCTTGCCCTATTCTCCTCGATCCTCATTATAGTTTCCAACACATTGTTGTTTAACGGCATGTTCCTCGGTTCTTGTCTTGCACCTTGTCCTTGGTTTCCTCTTGCTCCTTGTCCATGGTTTCCTCTTGCTTCTTGTCCATGGTTTCCTCGCTCCATTGTTTTTTTTTTCGTTTTTTTTTTTCTAGGAGGTTGGAGAAGAGGAAATGGATATTGGGAGTGGGGAGTGGCTCTTCAATATTTATACATGAATGGTCAACTCAGTCAAATTCATTGGGAGGAATATTTGGGATGTGAGTTACTCTGTAAATGTGCTTAACAAGTGCGGATTGGTCTACTACTAGTAACCGATTTTTGGATGTGGGTTCTCTTACTCTAGGTTAATGATACAATACAAAGACTGAAGTGGGTACGGGCCGATTTGGTCCAGAATCGAACCAAATCAAAATATGATCGAACTGAAAGTAAAGGGGAAAATGAGGATTGGAATCGAACTAAAATCATGTTTTGTTTATATAGTTTGATTTAGTTCGGACCAAAATTTAATTTCGATAAACTTTTCTTTTATATTTAAGACAATTCGTGACATCGAAACTGAATTGGAATATCTTCGATCGATCCGGTGTCAACCGTATTGTTACCTCCTAGAACCTTAAAAATCATGAAGCAAAATGAGATATTCAACATATTTAATTATTAATAACGGTTATTAAATAAATATTTTTACAGGAATGTCATTAATGAGGCACTCGAGGACATATTTGAGATACCAAAATTTAGGTAGCTTATTCATTATCAAAGACCAGTGGATTTTGCTAATTAATGAAGTTCCAAAAATTAAAAATTCAACAATATGATGTTTTGTTGTCAGTTATATATTTAATTCAAATAATAGTTCATACTTTTGTGTGAACGCTTTCGGCAACATACAAATTATCGTTTTTAATTATTGTATGTCTTGTAAATTTTTTGTCCAATCATAAATAGAAGCTTATCTTGAATAAAAAATGTTGATATTTTTTAAGGCACTATACCACATTAGAAAAAACTAAGTTAATCAGCAAATTGAACTTTTTCTATATACACATGACATTTATAGCGAGAAAGTTATATCGGGTTTAAAATGCCATTTACCGCTCAATAATAAAATCATCATTTTTATTTTATTTTTTAGTATGTCTTGGATATACTAAAGAAAATTAACATGCAAATTATGTGTATACTATATACATAAATTGAAATGGTGAAAAATAAAATAGGAGTTAAAGACTAATATGCATGAAAAAGTCATTAAAACACGCATAGACAACGTTCGAGTCAATAAAACATACTATTTATCCTTCATAAATTTATTTCCCCTCTATGATATTCAAGCTTATGGAAACTATTCCTCTCGCGATAGAACAGACTTACATTTTATAACTTACTGATATGGAAACCACAGAAACCAACGAACGATAATAAGTCACACGACTATATTGTTTAATTAATACTTTTGCAGAGAGAATCCACAAAATTCTCTTTGTTTCTTTCTGTTGAAAAAAAACATGAAAAACTTGTGTTTTAAAACACGGGGGTTGGTACTATATACTTATAGAAAATGAAGGGATACATGCGAATGATACAATTGTTTGAGTGGACAATTGAACCCCAACCAATGCATTGATTCGTTAAAAAAACCTCTACCATTAAATTATATGGTGCATGGTACGTAGTGAGAATGGACAGTCCACTCCAATCGCTATATTCGTTAAATTCTAATTAATTACCAAAATATTAGAAAAGAAGCAGCCAACAAGGTTGGCGGTGGTAATTGCAAAAGAAAAAAAAAACTAAAACTAATGAAGGGAGCGGTGGACAATTGGGGGGGGGGGGGTGAATATCTCATCCAATTGCAATTAATCCCCCCTTCCTTGCTAGCCTATAAAAGGCAGAGGCAATAGCCTAAAAAATCATTCCTTACCAATCCTTCCTCTCTCGTTTCTTTCTCCGTAGCCTTCTTTTGTATGCTCTTTGAGCAATTCTTTACTTGTGGGTTCTGGTAGTGAAACGTTTTCACTACCACGGATAGATAGGAGATTTCCTTGTGAGTGAAATAGTGAGGTTGTTTGGGAAACACCGTGTGCTCTATTTCTTGTATCGAGAAAATCTCTGTAACCTACCATTGTTATAGTGAAGAAATACTCCGGAGCTGCTGTTCCCGTGGACTGACCCAAAATCAGGGTATACCACGTAAATCCTCGATGTCATTTATTATTATTATCTATGCATGTTGTTATTTTGAGAATAGTCTTAGTATATTGCATTATTAAATTACCGAAGTAAATTGATCTAAGTAAGTTGGTTACCGTAATTCTGGAGGCTCTGCCACCAGGTCCAACTTATTTGTGAACTTTTTACAAGCGTGTGGTTTCTTAGTGCAATATATTTACCCGCTATTCTCACCCGCTGCGCCCAACAAGATTGACCCCATCCTTGTTATATTTATATATATATACATACTATATGTATATATATACATATGATTGATTTGATAGTTACTCATATTTCCCATTGTAATTTTAAGAATTTATACTTTTACTTCCTTGTTTTGTGGTGGGATAAGCTTTTGGTAATATTTTTGAACTCTTTGGTCTACTTTATGTTTTTTCTGATATGATTTATCGTGTTTTTAGTCTATTATGTATTTTGTGATATTTTTATGGTCCGATTGTAGTACGTGGTGTCAAATTTACCTGGCCCGAATGCCATGATTGTATTTCATAGGGTCCATCACAATCACTTACTCAGATGACGAGGAACGAGTTCTAGAATAGGATAAGGCATATGTAGAAGTTAAGGTGCCTCCAGTTTTGAAAAATGAAAAGTAAAGACAAGTACAGAAAAGAAAACATAGCTAATAGCTAATGAGCTTCTCAGTCTGGTTCAATCCTTATCTTACTGCCAAATTTTTTGAGCCTAGAGAGTACTAGGCGGATAACAATAATTATTGGGATTCGATATGGACTCCCTCGTTCGATCTCTTTGAGAGTGGAATGATTCTGTAGAGAGGTTGGGTTGCCCTCGTGATCTTTGCTCCGATGCCCAAGTTAGTGCGGTATAGGAATAGTGTATATTGAATGTAGAGAGAGTTGTGTAGAGAGAGACGACCTTATGTGGTCAAATGGAAGAAGAGATAGAAAAGATCCTTCTCTTGGAGGGATTGAACCTTCTTATAAATTATTTCGGGGCCTCCTTGAATGGGTTGTATGAAAGTGAGACACTTCTCCTGGGCTTGGTTTCATTAATTGTGTATTAATTTGTCGTATTAGACAGATTAATTCATATTCCAACAAAAGAGATTTATGAAATTGCTTTCTCAGACACTCAACTCTTATTGGGTTTGTGAATGTCCTAGGTTGGCCCTCCTAGAGCTTCCCGGCTTGTGTTTGCCTCCATGTTTTGCCAGTAGAGTTATGATGCAGCCAGATTCATATATGCTCCAATGTGCTCTGTCACGACCCGAAATGTCGTGATCGTTCTGATCGTCTGAAGAACGCTGTCATCTGGTTGTCTTGCCATAAGAGGGGTAAAGGGGGCGACTCTAGCGATAAGGCGTTGTCCACCATTGCATCGTTCTAGCCAAGTTCGGATGTGACTATGATGGGGATCGTTCTAGCCAAGTCCGAACATGGCACTGAGTTGCCTCCTATAGGTATTCAACCTACTTTGCTAGCCCTGTTGCCACCAGTTCTCCAAATGGATATTTGAGCCAATTATGCATGCTTGGTCTATTCCCATCCGGAAAGGAGTTATATTCCTATCAATTATTTGGGTAGGCGTAAATAAGAAAATGATGTATATAGTGGTGTTTAGTAACATCAATCATGCAGGGAGCTGGATTCTCTATATTGGCATGGAATCTTTTCTACGTAAGCTGATTGTGCAAAGTTTCTTTCTTCATACAGGCAGTGTGATTTGGGGATCTTTTGTTTGCTCCGTAAGGTAGCCAGAGCCAGCCAGTTTTTCACTAAATTTCAGAGTATTTGAACTGCAGAAAAGTAGTGCGGAGAACTAGTAAGAATTGTGCCTGCCATCCAATTCGTGACGTGGATGATCCGCCGAATCCATTGCTGACTTCACCACGATCGATTAGGTGAAACGGTTCTGAAAAGTTTCTTTGTTCATACAGGCAGCGTGGTTATAGTAGGAAGAATTTCAGGGCAAGAAAGCATACATGCCTATTTAGCCGCCTACTTACTGAATGCCAAAGCAAGGAAAGACTCTATGGAATACCTTCTGCTTGTCCTCGCTTAGCACGCATACATGTGATTCTTCTTCTATTTTTTTCTCCATTGGTAAAGGAAGACTAGCTAGAAAGAGAATTGGCTACTTTCTTCCTTCGATCCCTGTACAGTGCCTATTCACTCTTCCTAAGGCTATCGAGAAGGGATTTATTCTATTCACAGACAGCTTTCCTTCTTGTCCACGCGCTATGAGACAGATTCACAGTAAGCACAGCTCTTGCTTATCCCCCCTTGCGTACTTAACAAATGAATGAACCATAGCCCAATGCCTTCCTTCCCGAGTGAGATGTCTGCTGGGCCTATGAACAGTATTCCTAAGACAGGAGATTCGACTTGGAAATGTGCTTACTCCTTTTCTTACAAAGCTGATCTTGGACTTCTGGACTGACTTTCTAACCATCCAATCTTAAGGTTCTTTACCCCACGAGTGCTTCCTCCAGCGGATGCGCCGGAGCCTGAGACGCCGGAGGAAGAAGTAAGGTTACAAGGCCTGATGGAAAATCATATTTACCAGAGATTAAAGGGAAAATATCCTCCGAATTCGAATCACTGTTCGAACAAGCGGAAAAAACCGCGGAATTAAAAAGAAAGATCTTCGACAGGATGGCAGAATTAGATGATCCGTTACATGCGTCTTTTTGGGTTGAAGAACGATTTCGACTTGTTACGGAAGCACTTCTTACTAATAAGGAGCAAAGGATTAAAAACCTAAGCATCTTCAAGATTTTTTGAATGATTTACCAAAGAAGCAAAAAATCTTCTTTAAAATTCTAAGCATTCGAGAGAACTTTCAGAGGCAAGGAACATTTTTTGGAGTAACGAAAAGGAGAAGGTTTGATTAGTTTCTGGTTTGCTTTGTCTGAAGAGAAGGAAGAATGTGGACGTCACTCGATTGGGCTAGCCCCCGAAAATGCCCGTTTAGAAGTTGGGGATCCGCTCTTTAGTTCTTTTTTTTTTTTCGGTGAATAAGCAAATTTTATTCAGCCGAGACTGGCATGATAACACATGCCAGACGCCCACCAAACTACAATCTGTCCATCACTTACAGCAACTCATAGAAACCAACAACCTGCTTACAAAACTTCTACTCACACTATAACCGACCACTCGTGACACTCCTACGAACGGAAAACAAATCTCTATATCAAAAACGAAAGAAGGTAAATAAGCTAAACTGCTATCCACTACTTTCTGCAATCGTCTGCTGCTGCTGCTGTGGTTGGAATATTGACCGTTGCAAATCCGAACGTCGAGCTACTGTTGATGAGTGACTGAACTCCAAATCCTGCTGTATCAAGGTAAGCAAGGTGCTCACCTCACGGCCGGCCTCGCCATGGACTCTCCGACACGCTCTAGGGATGTCAATCCAACCCGTAACCATGGGTACCCTACCCGACCGTAACCGGTCAACGAGGGTAATTACCCGCTTTGACGGGTTAAGGGGCGGGTACGGGTAATACCCGGTTTCAAAATAAAGGGTAGGGTACGGGTATGGTAATCGATAATACCCGCTCCGTTATACCCGCCCCGCTAACCAAAGGGTCAATTTCCCTTGAGAAATTTAGATTAGCTTGAGAAATTGAGTTTATCTACCATTATTGATGATGAAGATGTAGACGATTATTATGTTTGTGTGGATTGTAGAAGTAAGAACAATTATTATGTGTTTGCTATTTTTATTTGTGTAGATTGTTGACGCTCGAACAGTTACAAGTATTGAGAATTTTTTTTATAAGGAAGTATCGAGAATTTTTAATGGACAACAGTATGTATGTGCATATATGTGTATAAGTTCATAGTTTAGGATTCGTACCCATGGTTACCCGAATACCCGTGGTTACCCGGTGGGTAGGGTATGGTTATATAATTTTCATACCCGGTGGTTATTTGGTCGGGTATTTTAGAAAGCTCTACCCGGCGGGTTAGGAGTTGGTATAGGGTAAACCCGCACCCGACCCTACCCATTGCCATCCCTAACACGCTCCTTCCATACATACCCCACTACCAAGCACCAAAGAGCACTTCCCACTTTGCCGTCCGCTCCAGGAAGATCAGCAAGGCTACAAGCTATATCCAAACAATTCTGCCAATTGGCAGCATAACAAATCGCCGGCCACACGCCAAAGAGATCTGCAAGTAACCTACGAGAGTACTCACAAGCAAAAAAGAGATGATCTCGGGTTTCAACTTCTGATCCACAAAGAACACATGAAGCGTCAACAAGCTTACCCCAGTTTCTGAGCTTCTTATGGAAATCCGTTAATCATTTTCCCTTTAACCTTTAATGAACAGTTATCTCTCAATTTAAGCTAAAATTTAAATTTTTTGCACAAATAAATAATATTAATTGTGTTCGTCAAAATGATATCCACTTTGATATATTTTCTCCAAAAAATATTGAGACATTTATTACCAGTCTATACAATATGGTTAGGCCTGTTAGCGGTGCGGTTTTGATTTTAATCGAACCACAAACGCGGTTAACTGCGACCGAGATCAGCCCATCACCGGCAACCGAAGTCGAGATCAGCCCATCACCGGCGGTTTCAGTTTAGGGTGGCGGTTAGCCGAAACCTGCGGAATTGTGGGGAGCAGGAGGCATATGGTGCGACGATGGCGACAACCGACGATGGCGGGATGACTGACGATGGTCGACGATTAATGGACTACGAGTGGGAAGACGAAGGCGGTAGTGGGGATGGGGGCAGGGCAATGACGATGGCTAGCGACGGGGACGCCAAGAAGGGTTGGGGTTCGAAGTATAGACCACAAACCAAATCACAGATTATACGGTTCGGTCCAGACCACTTCTGTGTGGTCTGGTCCGGTACGGTTTGGTCCATATAAACCACACTCAACAAAAGATGAATGATTGGTTTAGTCAACCGTGTCCGGTACGGTTTGGTCCATATAGACCACACTCAACAAAAGATGAATGATTGGTTTAGTCAACCGTAAAAAAGTTGAACCAATAACCTAGAAAAAAGCATAACAAAGATACAAAATAAAAGCATCCCAACTTGCACCATAACGTCATAAACATTAAGGTAGTTTCACATTGACACACGATTATCTTTACTCTCTAGTGAAATGTGGTTGTGAATGAAAGAGGGGACGAGATACTCAAAATTAAGGTTGAGACTTGGGTGTCGTTGTGGGAGTTGGAAGAGCGGTCGTATGGGCTGTTAACACGTATTGAAGAGTTGGTTGGGTCCACGCAGTGGCAGATCCATAAATTCTACATAGGGGTGTCCTCTTCAAAAACTAAATTAAATAATTATTAAATATGAAAATACCTGACTAATAAAAGTTACATTAAAAGTTCAGATATGTTTCGTAAAATGGTAAAATACATTCGGTGTCTATACTGCTCAACAATGATATTTCGACATATCCTACTAGAAAAGGGTATCCAGTAATTGGGTTTAATTGTTAGGTTTTAAAAATAATTTGGGATAAGAAAAACATTTTACTATTATATTTGGATCTAAAACAAAATAACAAATGAGTTGTAGTGTAATTGAAAATATGTTTACTAATAGTGGCAGTGTCTCAAGTTTAAATCAATAAACTACTACTAAAATATTATTTGTACTAATACGCAAACTACTATGGGAGGTTGGATAATCGTTTTCCTAAATTTTAAGGGTGTCCCACTACCACTTAAACATTTTTTCCCCCTCATATAAAAACTACTATCGGAGGTTGAATAATCGTGTTTCCAAATTTTAGGGGTGTCTCGGGACACCCCTAGAAATGCATGTATCCGCCCCTGGGTCCACGGTTTGGTGCGGTAAACCGCGGTCTAGACCAGACCAGACCAAGAAATTAAAATATAAAATAATACAAACCATAGACCAGATCAGACCATACTTAACGGTCTAAGGTCCGGACCAAACTGTGCGATCCGGTTTGAACCACGATTTTTTTAACGGTCTGGTCTATTTTTTTCAGCCTAGACTAGACGGGATAGATGGAAGTAGTGGTTTGTAACTTTGTATACATACGGATCGTAGTTGGATAATTATTTTGGGACTAATTGTGCAATTATTATTTTATTGCCGAGAATTGTAGTCGAGTATATATACTCTCACTTATTCACCCCTGAAACTCTCACAAAACCCTAATTTTTGTTGGACTTGTTGACAATGATGCATCGGCTAGCCTGTGTCGCCGATTTGATCTCCAACACCATATCAAAGACCAAGAAGATGTTGGGAATTAGCGGAATTGTGGTAGAAATTAGGATCAACACAAAGGAAATAATTGGTGTTTAATCACTCAATTTAATAAATACTCAAACAAACATAGCCTTACACTTTTTGGCTTATGTGTTTAACTCACAAAAGAGAAAGATACAGATATCATGGGACTTTCTTTCTTTCCTTTCTTTTTTTTAATTCTCCACACTTCTCTGACACACTACTCCCATTCCATACGTCCAATACATATATATATATAATTCAAATTGAAGACTTTCACTAGCCACTAGTAGCTGTAAGTGGATCCCTCCATGATAATGGAGCATTAATCTCCATGTGGTGTGTTTGTCTATTATAATTCATAAACATCATTTAGTTTATGCATTATTATTTTGTCTTCACATATTTATTGTAGATAAGTGATAGTTGTTTTGAAAACTAGTTCCAACTGCCAAAGTAATGAACTTGTCTTCTTGAGTTGATTGTGGTGGGCTTTGATGGTAATAATTGCAAATTACCATTTGACACCCCCTCTTAATTTGCAATTTGGAGTAGCTTCTTGAATTTCTCGAATTTCCACGGGTGACCGCCTTTGTCATAATATCTGCTGGCTGGTCGTCGGTGTTGATGAATTCCATCACGATTAGTCCTTCGTTGACGAGGTCTCGGATGAAATGATGACGCAACTCGATATGCTTCGATCTTGCGTGAAATACTGGATTCTTTGTCATGACTATGGCTGACATGTTGTCACAGTGAATAATGGTTGGACCATTTTCACTTTGCTGCAAATCAGAAATTAATCTTTTTAGCCATACCGCTTCGCATGCTGCATCAGTAGCTGCGATATATTCTGCTTCCGCTGAAGATAGAGCCACAGTCTTCTGCTTCTTCGAACTCCATGAAATGGGTTTTGAACCCAAACAGAATATGTACCCCGATGTGCTTTTTCGATCATCAAGTGATCCTGCCCAGTCACTATCGGTAAATCCGGCCAGCTTGCATTCTGCTTCTTTCTTGTACATCAGGCCCAATTTCTTTGTACCTTGAAGATACCGCAAAATTCTTTTGGCTGCTGCAAAATGAAGTTTGCTAGGTTCATTCATAAATCTTGATATAAGACTTACTGAATGACATATATCCGGCCTGGTATGTGTCAGGTAAATGAGTGACCCGACGAGACTTCTGTATAGCTTTCCATCGACTTTTTCAGCTCCATCATTGCGTTGTAATTTCTTGTTTAACGCCATCGGTGTTGAGATTGGTTTGCACGTTGCCATGTGAAATATTTTGAGCATATCCTCGGTGTACTTCTCCTGTGAAATAAATATTTCTCCAGGCGACTGCTTCACTTGGATCCCAAGAAAATACTTCATGAGTCCCAAGTCCGTCATCTCGAATTCTTTCATCATGGTACTTTTGAATTCTTCGATCATATGCTGATTTGTACCTGTGTAAATCAAGTCATCAACATATAAACAAACAATTAGAAAATCTTTTCCTTCTCCCTTTTTGATGTAGAGAGATGCTTCACTCGGACTTCTTTGAAATCCGTTTTGTTGAAAATATCGATCAATTCTGCTGTTCCAGGCTCTCGGTGCTTGCTTCAGCCCGTATAAAGCCTTTCGGAGACGATAGACTTTGTCTTCTTCTCCTTTTTTCTCATAGCCTCGTGGTTGTTCCACATAGACTTCTTCTTCCAGTTCTCCGTTCAGAAATGCTGATTTGACATCCAGCTGGTATACTGGTAACTCCAGTTGAGCAGCTAGAGCGAGAACTGTTCTGATGGTCTCCATCCTTGCTACTGGTGCATATGTCTCGTGAAAATCAATACCGGGCTGTTGTGAATAGCCCTTTGCCACCAGTCGAGCTTTGTACTTCTGGATAGTACCATCTTCATTAAATTTGATCTTATAGATCCATTTGAGACCTATAACCGGCTTGTCCTCCGGTTGATCAACAAGCTCCCATGTCTTGTTTTTCTCGATCAAAGAAATTTCTGCATCCATCGCTCATTCCAAACTTCATCTTTGGCTGCTTCTTCAAAGACTTGAGGCTCACAAGAAAAATATGCAACATGACTTGTTTCATAAATTTCTCGCAAAGACCTTGTTCTCAACGGAGGAGAATCCGAGTCTGTTACGACGTCTCTGAAGTCGTCCTCTTCTGGGCTAGGTGTAGAATTTCTTTTTGGACTAGCAACTGGATCTGGGTTGTTGCTGGGGTCTTCTGGAGTTACTGAGTCCTCCAGAATTTCATAACTTGGTGGAGATTGAGAAATTGGATTTTCCCAATTCCACTCCGCCATCTCATCAAAGATCACATCTCGGGAAACCACCACTTCGTTCTTTACTGGGTTGTAGAGACGATAGCCTTTGGATTCATCACTGTAGCCGGTGAAAATCAGCTTCTCACCCTTCTGGTCAAACTTGTCTCGGTTTGGGGTAGAAATATGTGCATAAGCTATGCACCCAAAGACTTTGAGGTGATCCACCTGTGGCCTCCTGTGGTGCCACGCATGTATCGGTGTCTTGTTCCGAACTGCTTTGGTTGGTGATCTGTTAAGGATGTAAATTGTTGTATTGACCGCTTCTGCCCACAAGTTGTTGGGAAGCTTCTTTGCTTTGAGCATACTTCTCGCCATCTCCACAATCGTGCGGTTTTTCCGTTCTGCCACGCCATTTTGTTGTGGTGTGTAACGGACCGTCAGCTGCCTTTTTTATCCCGTTGTTGCGGCAATACTCCATGAACGGAGTATAAATAAATTCTCCTCCACGATCTGTACGGAGTGTTTTGATCTGATGGCCACTTTCCTTCTCAGCTACTGCTTGAAATTGAAGGAACTTGGGAAAAGCTTCTGACTTTTGCTCCAGAAAGAATACCCACATCATTCTGGTGAAGTCATCTACAAATAGTAGAAAGTATCTTTTACCGCTGAGTGATTGTGTTCGAGTTGGACCGCATATGTCTGCATGTACCAACTCCAGTGACGCTTTTGCTCTCCAAGATGTCTTTGGAAATGGTAAACGATGCATTTTGCCATATATGCATCCTTCACATATTTTATCTTCTCTGTTGATCTGGGGAAGTCCCACCACCATATTTTTCTGCCTCAGCAATTTGAGGCCCTTGAAGTTGAGATGACCGTATCTGAGATGCCATAGGAAGGATTGATCCAGATTTTCACTCTTGAAAGCTACTTCACCATTTTGTGACATAGCAAGAGAGAAAATTCTGTTGGAAGTCATCGGGACTTTGGCCACCATGAAATTGTCTGCTTTGTTGATAATCTCGCACACGCCATTATCAAACAATAGCTTGTAATTTTTCAGCATCAGTTGTCCCACGCTAAGTAGATTGAGATTTAGCTCCGGAACATACAAAACATCTCGAATGAGAGTTTTGTTGCCTTCTTCTGTGCATACAACAACTGTGCCTTTTCCTTCCACTTTTAGCTTCTTTCCGTCTCCCAACTTGACTTGAGAGCGGTATTTGTCATCGATGTCGGTGAAGGACTCCAGATCTCCAGTCATGTGGTTACTGCAACCACTATCCACCATCCAGGGAAGCTGTGATTTTTGCTCACCATTCAAGCATGATAAGGCCACCATATTGCTTTCTTCATTTTTGGTGCCGCTTGACTCGCCTTCTTCTTGCTTGTTCTGGAACCAGCAATCTCTTTGGGAGTGGTTTTGAATTCTGCACTTGGTGCACTTGAATCTGCAGTCATTTGTTGCATGACCCGCCTTTTTGCAAATTATGCAACTCGAGCCGGTGTAGCCCGATCTTTGTTGTTGATAATTTTGTCTGTTGTTTCCTCTGTAATTGGATCTTCCTCTTCCTCTTCCTTGTGAGTTTCCCCCTCTCTGGCCTTGCTCCGATTTGGCATATTTACTTTCCGTCATGTTGACTTTTGACGAGAAAGCTTGCTCCAATGGCGGTTTGGTGAATCGGCTCATTCTTTGCTCATGTGCTACAAGTGAGCCCATCAACTCGCTCATTGGTAGATTTGCCAAATCTTTGGTTTCTTCAATGACAGCAACAATATGCTCGAACTTTGATGACAAACTGCGGAGAATTCTCTCCACAATTTTTCTTTCTTCCATGACGTCACCGGTGGCTTTGATCTGGTTGACTGTCTCCGCCACACGTGAATGGAAGTCTTTGATGGTGTCGGTTTCCTTCATCATCAAGTTGTCGAACTGTCGCCATAAACTTTGGCGCCTGATAGAGATTGCCTTTTCAGAACCTTGAAATTGTTCACGCAAGACATCCCAAGCTTCTTTGGTCTTTTTGATGCCATAGATTCTCGGGTAAATCGATTTGCTCACTGCTTGCTGAATTATTCTCAAGGCGCTGGCATTTTGCTTGGCATTCTCCTTGTACTCCTTTGTCTGTTTGCCTGCTCGTTTCTTGGAATCTTCATCCTCGTCTTGTGGATCTTCGTAGCCTTCTTTGACGATATCCCAAAGATCTTGAGAGATGAAAATAGGCTCCATTTGGGCACTCCAGTACTCATACAATTCTCCATCGAAAATGAGAATTTGATTTGATGAGGTAGCAAACATGGTGTGTGATGAATTTGTTGCCATGACTTTTTGAGAAAATTGGGTAGGCTAGAAATTTGGGGATTTTTGAGGATAGAAGGGTATTAGCTCTGATACCAAATTTGTTGGGAATTAGCGGAATTGTGGTAGAAATTAGGATCAACACAAAGGAAATAATTGGTGTTTAATCACTCAATTTAATAAATACTCAAACAAACATAGCCTTACACTTTTTGGCTTATGTGTTTAACTCACAAAAGAGAAAGATACAGATACCATGAGACTTTCTTTCTTTCCTTTCTTTTTTTTAATTCTCCACACTTCTCTGACACACTACTCCCATTCCATACGTCCAATACATATATATAATTCAAATTGAAGACTTTCACTAGCCACTAGTAGCTGTAAGTGGATCCCTCCATGATAATGGAGCATTAATCTCCATGTGGTGTGTTTGTCTATTATAATTCATAAACATCATTAGTTTATGCATTATTATTTTGTCTTCACATATTTATTGTAGATAAGTGATAGTTGTTTTGAAAACTAGTTCCAACTGCCAAAGTAATGAACTTGTCTTTTTGAGTTGATTGTGGTGGGCTTTGATGGTAATAATTGCAAATTACCATTTGACAGAAGAGACCATGGGCTGATCTGAGTCCGGATCTGCTCAACCTGATCTACGCCAAGCTCCCTCCAGGCTACGGCGGTGACGTCGAGTTCCGATCCGTTTGCAAGAACTGGCGCCGGATCGACCCCGATGGCTCTGTCTCTGCCTCGAAACCCTCCCACCTAGAAGTACCGATTCCTCGTTGTTATCATCCCCTCCAGATCCCCGACGGGGCTCCGGAGAGATCGACCATCAACGGCGCGCTGGTCATCCACATGTGGGCGAGCGGGTGGTGCCTCTTGGGACGCCGGGAAGACCAGATCTTCGGCTGCTACAATCCCCTGTTCCGCTGGCCGACCAGCTTCGTCCGACTCCCCGAATGCACACTCAACGACACGATGGTAGCGGCGGCGATCTCGGCCCCACCAACCGCCAGAGACTGGACGATCCTCCTCGTGGAGGGCGCCGGAAGTTTCAGGACGCTGCGCCGCGGCCAGCGGCGGTGGCGGGAGTACACTTACTCGCCCGATTGGAATCGGTTCTGCCACGGGATCGGGTACAGAGACCGGATGTTCTTCTGCCTGTTCCACACGGGAGAGGTCCTGATGTTCGCAATCGACGGCGGCTGCTGCAGCAGGAGGAGGATGCTGCTGCCTTATCGTGAGGAGGGGTTCGTGTTTCACCGTGTCGTCGTTGCGGCGACGTTTTGGTGCGGAGAGAAATCGATCGTGCTGACGTGGGCGCAACGAGGAGATGAGTGGCTTCTCCAGCTGGCCGGGGTGGAGAGGCGTACTGGGAGAGTAAGGTATGCGTGGGAGATCGGCGATGAATTGTTATTACAGGAAGGGAGTGTGACGGCCGCAAAGGTAGTGTACGCCTGGGAGGAGATAGGAATGATCGTCCGCAAAGATTGTATGTTTTGTTTATGTTTCTAATTTCTCGCAGGAATAGCAACAGATCGGATAGAATATCAAAATACTAAGTTTAGGATATCTCTTAATTCTATTTCTTCCTTTTTCGTATAAGTCTTACTTCTTCACGGGAATTCTATGGTGCAGTCAGTGCACTAGTGCCGCCACGTTATTGTAACCGGTTGAGTTGGTGATTTATTGGTTGGCTCCGGTTTAGTAATTTAATTAATAAAACATTAAAAAAAAAGAAACAGAAAGCAAAAGGCAGGACAGTCGTTCCCTTCCATGTCTTTCCATTGTAAATCAAGGAAACTCTTCCGTCGCGGCACTCCACCACCACGTTGTTTTCGTCGATCGATCTCACCAACAACATCCCAACTTCGTCTGGCAAAATCAGCTGCGTCATCAGCCCCGTAGTCGCCTTCTGCTCATCGACAGCATCGTTTCTGCCGCGTGAATCCACAATCACCATCGCCATTGCGGTCGGTCGACCATAACCACCCACATCCCGAATCCCCGACAATCAATGTCAACACCGTCGTCAACCCAGTTGCCGCCGCCAGGTCATCTCATCGCCGTCTCTGTTGTGACAATAAACCACCGTTGTCGCTGGTCGGCCATCACCACCCAAATCCAGACACCCTCGAAATCGCCATAGTCGTCAAGGCTCCTCCCCTCCCGTTTTAACCACCGCCAATTCAATTTCCCCATCCATGGCTACACAATTCCTGAACCACCTTCCGCCCGTCATCAAAATCGTCTGGCTGCCCTGTCATTCCCAACAACGTCCCTACCGTGGCAATCGATCCGTTGCCGCTGTTCAGCCTTCAGCACGAAGATCGGCGACTCACTCGAAATACCCATTGTGGTCAGTGGCGATCAAGGGATACGTTACCTAGAATCCCCTTTCAGCTTCTATGAGATAAGTCTTCAGTATCCTTGTGATTTGTGTATTTGTTGGATAATGCTAAGCGCGTTAGATTGTTAAGATTGGGCGAACAACATAATTTATAGTTGGATGGTTTCAAATCTTAGTGTAGTTATCTTAAATCCCCTCCCAAATCTTCTACTTATTTATAATTTTTGTGTTCAGTTGCCGTGGATAAGTCATGTGAATAATTTTTGAATTAGAAAACTAAGAAACCCCAACAGAACTAGAACTCCTCCTTATCTCAACTACTTATAGGTTCCTATATATATTTTGGTGTGTATTTGTATATGTCGTAGGCTTTTCAAACCAATAGAAACATCATTTGGTGCAATGGAAGGGTTCGTTCTGTGTTTATCTGATCTGGTTATTTTCTTAATGAGCTTCTCTTATGGCTCTGCCTAAATTGTTGTGTTTTTGTTCCAGCTTGGACAAGAGAACGTCGGAATCAAATGGCTCAAATGAGATTAACCAGGTAATCACTTACTATTTTCAAAATATCTTTTTGTATTTTTGGTTGTTTGTAGTGACAATTGTAGTGTCTTTGTCAAATAATTGCTTAGATGGTAGAAGTGGCGTCTGTTGAACTTGAATACCACTCCCTGTATAACTTAGGAGTCCCTCAGAGTATACCTTCGTTGAACCATCTTCCATAAAAGAATCATCTTCCCTAACTTGGCATTCCTTTTTCAGCTGACATTTCACCATATTTTCGTGATTTTGAAGTTATTTGGCCCCAGCTTTGTTCAAAAAGGATGATAGCATGTGTATTTGTTAGTCTAAATTTGTTGGAGAAAACAATAATCTGGGACTCAGAACTGAAATCCCAGATAGCCTACTTTATCAAACTTATCAACCAGTCTAAATCTGCTACTGCAGATCAAGGTCTCCTTCAAGTTGGTTATGCGGCAACATCAAAACTAAACAAATGTAATCTTATTACCTCAAATGGGTAGTTGTGCTATTTATTTCCTTACTCAATTTTCACTCGTTTTGAATTTCATTGCTAGACCATCTATGATCCTGCCTTGCTGTCTTTATGATCCTTCTGCTGCTACTGCTTGCAATTCCTGAGCTTGGATAGATAGAAGTGTATTTAATGTGTTGTTTGGTACAACTGAAATCAATTTTAGTAATTAAAAAATTTAGGACTGAAAAATACAATAAGATACTATTACAATTAAAATTCAGCTTATAACTTAGATGCAAAGGCATAACTGTAGATGAGGAATCATATAATTTTATCTATAGCCTTATAACTTCCCCTCTGCTTACGAGCTGCAACTCTCTGTACAACTTCCAAAGGCTGCAACCCAAATAACAATGATTGTATTCAAATATCACAATTTTGCACAATCTACATCAATATTTTTGGCTGATCTTCTTTTGTTTTAAGCTGTCATCATTTGTTTTCTCATTGTGTTTTCTATCTTTCTTTCCATGTACTCCGTTTTTCATGTCTAAAATATTGCACTCACCCACTGACAAAAAAAAAAAAAAAAATTATATCCAAAACGATTGTTAAGCAACTGTTTGATGTTTCATATGTAGATGTCAAAACTATATTCTCTTAAGGAAGAGTTGAAAGTGAATCAGTTAGCGTTGAAGAATGATATGGAGCAAAACGTAAGCGAGTTGAAGAGATCGCTAGATTCTTTAACTGACTGGTTGGTGGAGAAGTTTGCTACCATCAGACCTGGTGATCCCTGCGAAAGTGGTATGAAGCACAACAAAGACACGGGAGTGGAGGTTATTAACATCAGCACGTATAGCTCATGCTCCTTGTCAAGAACCACTGCACCCAAGATGTCAGACAAAGCTGCAAGGAAAAGGAAAAAGGTTTGTTGTACTGTCATATTTTGACTTGATTATGTTTCTATTAGTTATTTAATTGTTTTTTTTTTTCAATAGGGAAAGGTTGGCGTGAAGCCGCCTTGTCAAAGTGAGAAGTCCCATTTTGACAAGGAGATATAATGAAATGAGAAATAAAAAAATGTATTCCATTGGGCCCTTTACAACTTCCTCTCGTGCATGCCCAATGGATCTGATTTTGATAACCCATGTGTTTGACCAGTCACAAGATGAGTGGTATTAAATCTATCTTTTCCAATTACTTATGTTAGTATTTGTTAATGGAAGTGCCTATTATTCCAATTCTTTGTAATTGCAAATTGGTTATTGATTGTTTTTAATTTCCAGTGAGGAGCTTGTAAGATCTCCATGGTTTAATCTGAATCGGGCACAATTTAAGGGATTAGCACCAGATTTAATGTTGTCTTCTCAGGTTAGTGTAAAACTTCTTTTGGATTTACAAAACTAGATAGAATAATATGCAAACAGCTTGTGTGTTTTATGTGATTGTGATTATATTTGGGATACTTGTACAGGTTATTACCATGTGTGTGGACTTCTTAACTCTAGAAGAGTTTCGTAAGGAAAAACGTGTGCGATGGTTCTTACCACCGGCCTTTTCTGTAAGTATAAATATTTTTTATGCCTTCTGTGGTGTATTTGCATGATAATCTTGTAAGCAATTATTACATATGTGAGAATGTCTTTTAGATGTCTGTGCGTGGATATTCTGAGGAGAATATTAGACGCGTGTACTGTTCAGAAGATTTCAACGACTGTGAGAAGGTACCAATCTTGTTACGTGGTCTTAGTTGGATGTTTTAATTGGTTTATTTTTGCTCCGAGTTGTTAATTATTATATATATTTTTTAGATTATTGTTCCCATTCTGCTGGACAATCACTTTTTTGTCAGCGTATTAACATCAGCACGTATAGCTCATGCTCCTTGTCAAGAACCACTGCACCCAAGATGTCAGACAAAGCTGCAAGGAAAAGGAAAAAGGTTTGTTGTACTGTCATATTTTGACTTGATTATGTTTCTATTAGTTATTTAATTGTTTTTTTTTTCAATAGGGAAAGGTTGGCGTGAAGCCGCCTTGTCAAAGTGAGAAGTCCCATTTTGACAAGGAGATATAATGAAATGAGAAATAAAAAAATGTATAACATTGGGCCCTTTACAACTTCCTCTCGTGCATGCCCAATGGATCTGATTTTGATAACCCATGTGTTTGACCAGTCACAAGATGAGTGGTATTAAATCTATCTTTTCCAATTACTTATGTTAGTATTTGTTAATGGAAGTGCCTATTATTCCAATTCTTTGTAATTGCAAATTGGTTATTGATTGTTTTTAATTTCCAGTGAGGAGCTTGTAAGATCTCCATGGTTTAATCTGAATCGGGCACAATTTAAGGGATTAGCACCAGATTTAATGTTGTCTTCTCAGGTTAGTGTAAAACTTCTTTTGGATTTACAAAACTAGATAGAATAATATGCAAACAGCTTGTGTGTTTTATGTGATTGTGATTATATTTGGGATACTTGTACAGGTTATTACCATGTGTGTGGACTTCTTAACTCTAGAAGAGTTTCGTAAGGAAAAACGTGTGCGATGGTTCTTACCACCGGCCTTTTCTGTAAGTATAAATATTTTTTATGCCTTCTGTGGTGTATTTGCATGATAATCTTGTAAGCAATTATTACATATGTGAGAATGTCTTTTAGATGTCTGTGCGTGGATATTCTGAGGAGAATATTAGACGCGTGTACTGTTCAGAAGATTTCAACGACTGTGAGAAGGTACCAATCTTGTTACGTGGTCTTAGTTGGATGTTTTAATTGGTTTATTTTTGCTCCGAGTTGTTAATTATTATATATATATTTTTAGATTATTGTTCCCATTCTGCTGGAAAATCACTTTTTTGTCAGCGTATTTGACCTTAAGAAGGAGGTCAAACAAATATGGGATTCATATCCGAACTTTCTCGATCCGGGCAGGAGGGAAGAAAAACTATCACAAGTAGTAAGTAAGTTATCTCCTAAAACTTTATATCGTTTGTGTACATGTTTCTGTTTGGTAAACTGGGTACTCTTTGTCACGTAGGCGAAAGCACTAGACTCCCTGGTTATGGTCAAGATTATTAAAAAGTTGGAGGTCAACTTGCTGGAATCTTTCACTACTGAAATAGTGGTTAACGCTCCACGACAGAAGAATGGGTAAGCGTACGAATTTTGTGCTCATTTTTTATGTTAGTTATATAGTAGGCTAATAACTGTCATTTTAACTTTGACTATTGGTCCTACAGGGTTGACTATGGTCTTTTCGTGGCGAAGTTGATGAGAAACAGTGGGTGCTTAGATGATTGTGCACGTAAAATGAAGAAGGTCAGTTTCTTCCCAACTTTCTCATCTCTTGAGTTCTGATATTTTTCTTATACCTTTTGTTTTCGTTTTTACTTTCAGTTTGAGAGTCAAGATGAGAGGCTTGATCTAGCATTGTATTTGCTGAATAACAAGGAGAATGAGATTAAAGATGTGCTTCACCGGAAAGTTGTAATGGAAAGTGGTGAAAGAATTGATGAAGTTGAGGGTACTGCTGAGAGGAGCGAAACACCCAAAAAAGATGGGAATTTTACTACTTATAAGCTGTAGTTGGTTTTCCTTGTTCAACAATTATAGACTCTTTAGAAGAATAAACATGGCTAGGCTATTGCGTTGAACTTTTTTTTAATAATCCTGATACTGTTTAGTTGTGGGAACGTTGTGGGTTTGAATATGGGGTACCTCGATTTGTTTTAATTATTTATAATTCCCCTACCCCAGCTGCCACTAGTAAATGCACAATCACTATCCCAATGCTGCCACCAATCCCTCATTGTCTCCTGCACCTACTGTTTGACTTCCTCCTCTCTCTCCACCAGCAAACAAGCTTGATAATCTTGACCTGCAAAATTAGATTATATGAGGTGTTTTAGGCTTTATACTCACAGAAATTTCATTTAGGATCTCCAGCCACAGACATAATCGGAGATAAGAGTTTCATTGCTTTTCAACAGTCAACACCACCGCTGCAAAACATATCCAATTTCACAGCACTACTGCAGAACAGATAGAACATAACATTTTACACAACTGATAGTTTGTACTGTGTAAGCTAACAACATAGAGATAAAGACAACAAATGAACTGTCATGAATCTTTCCACTCAAAAACTACGCACCATGGAGCAAATTATACAAGGTACGACTTCATGGAAAAGTAGTCTTCTAAAGATAATAACTTAAAAACGACAACCTCTTCCCTAGGCCAGGTAAGTACAAGGTTCTGCCAATAGGTGAACAGGTGCTTCTTTCATTTCATCCTTGCATAAACTTCCCTTGCTCTCTTATACTCCTTTGGCTGTTAATCCAATCTTCTTTCTCAATCACCAGTTTTGGAAAGCTGTCTGCTAGAAGATTCTGCTTCCTTATCCACTATTCTTGCCTCCTGCATAACTAGGGAAGATGCATTATCCGAACCTAAGAAACACAAACAATGCAATTCACAGCAAACACTAATCATGCAGGCACACACATAATACCTTGTCTAGGCTGTTCATATTCTCTTTCGATCTATGATAGCCAGATCAACATGTGATCATTGTAGAACTCTCCATATGTTACTACCATACTTCTTTGAATGTGGATGAAGCAATTTGCTTCATTGAATATAGATGATAATGGCTTTCAATCGTTCACAACATCTCAACATAATAAACGTACAATTGACTTGCACAAGCTTCCCTCCCACACAAGAAGTAACTTTCCTTCGGGCAGAGAGAGTGCATAATCCCTGGTGCTGATCCAAAGACACGGTTGAGAACAAGATCACTACCACAGAGGTTTCTAGTGATATTGGGACGTAAGGAATTAGAGAAGCAAGGTAACTTATGTGAAAGCAAAACATCAGTTCTTCTACCTCTTGTCCAGTAAGATCAATGGCTTTGCTTGTTCTCCTAAGTTCCATTTGAATCTGACACCAAGACAAAGTGAAAGCGAATCCTTAGCCTACAGCAAGTAGAGAATTGAAACATTAACGTCACACAAGGTAAGTATTGTGAAAGCTGGAACATCCCAATGTGTTCGATTTTGAACCCTATAAATACCTCCAACGCGAAATTTCAACATAAAATTCAAAATTGATGCATGAAATCAATGCTAACCGCTCCCAAACTTCGGAAAGAGGACGAAAAACTATGAACCTTTATATAAGAATAATCGCCACAATGAGAGTAATTGAGTAGAGGCGGAGAAGAACATGGTAACTCCTGAACTTGCGAGCTTTGCAGGTTCGCTTGACAGGTTTGGGATTGGACTTCCGATATGAGCATGGTGAAACGAGAAGTGCAGGTCGCGTATGGAGTTGGGCCTAGTCGACGGGGTTGGGAGAAACCAGCGGCGACACAGAATCGGCGGCAATGGGTGGTGCGGATGGACTTGGCTCCATTTTCTCTAGAAAAAGAGCACGCAGCCGAGAGAGAAAAAGGAAGAGAGTGAATTTTGCTTTTGCCTCCCAAGTGGACTTGGGGGAAGGCAAGAAAATTGGTGGGAAGGTCGAATTTTTGTGAAAATAAAAGGAGGGGATTTTGAATTTTTCTGTGCTAAGGGATTTTCGGAGCCAAAAGAAAGTGGAGGGAACTTTCCCTTTCTAAATTTGGGATTACTTTTGTTCAAGATAAATTGCTCATTGTCCTTGGGAAATAAATTCATCAATTTCCATGATTATCACATCAAATTTTAGATTTGTACTGCTAACAATGGTATAATATAATATAACATAGAATCGGAACTAATTAATGTGTTATTCTAAACTCTAAAACTTCAATTTTGATCGCAACCCCAATTGACAAATTGAAAACCTCAAACGCTAACCCTAAATCTTGCTGTAGAATGTAAAGTATGGATATAATGTTAATGCGTATTCAGTTGTATATATCATTTCAATGTAAGAACTATGACTGATTGTGATCGTTGCCTCATAGTTACGCCCAAAAATAACATGTATTGATGAGCCGCAATCATAGGCCCTCAAATAGGATATGTGAAGACCTACAAGATCTCTTCCCAACTCTAGTTGTAACTAACATCAGACTAAACAACTGCGTTCTAACCGAAATGAATCGACTGCTAGCCCTTAGCTTGGCCACACACACATATGTTGAGTAGATACGATAACTTTCAATACGAAGAGATGGAACTAACTAGACTAGTTTAATGGTCGTACGTAAGGCTGCAAATGAGCCGAGCTACTCGCGAGCGGCTCGGTGTTCGACTCGAGAAAAGTTCGTAGGAAACTTGGTTCGTTAATAAATGAGCCGAATATGAGCTAAGCTTTGTTAAGCTCGTGAAGCTTGCGAGGTAGCTCAACTCGGTGGCTTGTTCAGCTAAACTCGTGAGCTGGATCGTTTATAGCTCATGATATGTCTCAACATATGGCTAGAGAGCCAACTCGATTACCACCTTATGTACGAATCAATCTATATCTGATGATTTTAATTCATTTGGTTGTTAAATTATTATCTCACCATATATAAAGTTTAACATATTGAGTATGTGAGCAAATATTCATTATTTTCTACTTTAAAAAGAAATTATGTATCATAGATTGCTTCGATATTATGAAATAACATGATTTGGAGTAGTTAAAATTTACCGACTAAATGATATATGATATCAACAAAGTATCATATGATATTAGCTAACAAATAAATCATATGTATCATGATATGCAAAATGAAGTTCCAAATAAAAGTCGAGATTTTATTAAACAAGTTAGCTCGAGCTCGACTCAGCTCGTTTATAAACGAGCCGAGCTCGAAATCGACTCGTTTATTAACGAGCCGAGCTCAAACTAGGGTAAAACTCGACCCGGCTCGGCTCATTTGTAGCCCTAATCGTACGTGAAGCCTAATTGATCACCACGGTTTAAGTGCTCCCTTGCTTCAAATGTAAGCCCAACGTGAAGCCTAATTGATCACCACGGTTTAAGTGCTCCATTGCTTCAAATGTAAGCCCAAGAAAGGTATAGAAAGACAACTAATCGTACGTGAAGCCTAATTGATCACCACGGTTTAAGTGCTTCCTTGCTTCAAATGTCAGCTAATACCATCCAATCATAATTATTATGTTCAGCTTACAAAACTACATGCTAACTACATTGATTATGATAATAGTGACTTCATATGTTGTTAGTACGTTGATAGTTGATGTCTATAGATATCAATTCCCCAATAAGGACTACAAGAGTGTGCTTGGGTACGAGACCCTCTACTTGCTTGTATGTATGATCTCAATAAGTTTGGTCGCTCGTTTGTGCTTTCACATAAAGAAGCACGCATTTTCAATTATCTTCATCAAGGCCACTCAAATTAACAAGGAATCTTTCAAGGTATTGCCCCTCCTGTCACTTCCCCTGCCTGCGAACCCATCTTTCCTTCTCTTCTCTTATCTTTCTTCATCCCCATCCCACTTCTCTTTCTTCTTCCCCGCCCCAACTGATAAAATCGCTCCGATTGCAATTCAATTCACACAAAGTCACAAAGGCAAAATGCTGGCGGTGTAGGAAATTAGGTCCTCAAGACCCCAACCTAGCAACAACCCTAAAATCCCTAATCGACAAATTCGAGTTCGACTTCTTCCCGTCTTCCCCTTCGTCTCGCAACCCGCAACTCGCAACCCTCGTCTCCCAATCTGCCTCGCCAATCTCCTCGCCAACTCCACCTCGCCTATCTCCTCAGGCCAGCATCGTGGTCCTGGTCGTGGTTATTGGCTCGTCGGTCGTCGGCCACTCTGCGAGGTAACAAAGCTCCTCTCAGTCTCCACCTCGTCACGCAGAGAAGATGAAGAGTGCTCGTCGTCAGAGCTTGTCGCTCATCGGAGCTTCCCTGTTCGCCAGCCGCCACTGTCATCTGATTTGGTAGAAGGATAAACAAATTGACGGTGACTTCGACTTACGACGAACTGACAAAGACAACAGCAACAAATGCGGGTGATTTGCGTGAAGGATGAACAAATAGATGGTGACAACGGTGGCGACGGTGAATTTGCGTTGAATTGAAGGGTGAACGACTTCGACTGAAAGCAAGAATGGGTAATTCACTAACTTAGGGATTCATATAGGGGATTATATCTGGTGATATAACTAATTAATTTGTTAGCATTCAATTCTAGGTTTAATTCGCCGCTGAGATAGCTTTAATTTGATCGTCCAATTCCAATTTGCTTGATTATATTAATTGTTTGTCAATTCCATGATTCCTTGTATTCGTTTGTAGTTGCTGGGCGTTCGAGAATCTCTGGGAAGAGAAAATTTGTTGAGTTTAGGGGAAGCCTTTTGTTATACGTGAAGAGGAATAGACATCAAGGTGCTGCTGATGGGAAGAAGAGGAAGACGGTCAGAAAGAAGGGGGGAAAAGTTGATTTTTGCTAGTTGAATCCAGATTTTGTGGCTGTTAATTGAAGGCTCTATTGGGTGAATGGAAAGTATTCGAGGAAGGTGTTGGGGGAGATGAGGTTTAAGAGCACTGTGGAGCAATGGAGAATCTGGAGAAGTACGTACAATGGTTTAGGGGATGCTGTTGTGACACTGAGATTTTTATGGAGCAAAGTTTCCAGTAAATCAAGCTAGTCAATAAAAACAGAACAACTATCATTCTCCTCCCATTGATCTGAGTTTTGTTTCCACAACTAAGCATGGGTGTGAAGGTTCCACATCATGCTAATCTGATGAGGCAAATTGGTAGTTCTATACATTGATTGACTAGTGTAAAACGACTACTCAATCAAAATATAACATTCGTCAACACTAACTGGTCTGAGTCTGCTTTGATGAAAACTGAGTGGAATCCTCCATCTGGTAATGACTGAACTTCAAAGCCTATGCTACCATATGTTGCTTGCAGTTCTTTGGTCCGTAATGCTCACTGGTATGCTTCAAAACCTTGCGGCACAAGTAACAGTAGTGTATTTGGCATCTGAACCACCAAATACATGTGCTTGTCATTTTCCGGCTGCACAATATCATTACAATGCATGTTATAAGTAAAAAGTAGACACCAACGACGAACCAAAATTCAGAAACCAGCAAAGGAATACATGACAGGAAAGACGAAACCTATGTGCATTCTAAGATAACTTAATAATAACCAAACTATTCAAAAACACACGAGAGATGACAAGCTAAAAATCATACCAGGATATAATCTCTTGTGCAATATTCTACTCCATCATTCCAGAATCTGCTACTTGGAGCTTGTTTTTGATAACCTGAAACTCTTTGGTCCCTCAAACAGGAAGTGAATGAAGTAGGCAGAAAACAGCGAGTACAAGAATATAATACTCCTATACCCAGCAGCAGCCAATGAATATAATACTTATTCTACTATCTGTCATATTCTCCCTTTCAATTAGTTAACCCCATTATTGCAATACCCTCTACACAGTACTAAACAGTAAACAAGTCTCAACTCTCATACACAGTACTAATCCATGGCCTTTTGTATTACCATTGTTCTTTAAGAACACAAGATCAATTCGGGCAGTTCAAAAACAAATTTCAAAAACCCAGCAAACAGCAGGTGATCAATGAAACTCATACTGCAGTTTAAATACCTTAACATCTCTTCAAAGACATTATACAAGTGCAACCATAATGAAACAGATCGATGACATCTAGCAATCATCAGTCCTATAAGAAGAAACCACATCTCCATACCAGCAGCAAGCCAAAAAACAAACTCTCCTAACACTCAAATTGCATATTGTAGCAGCAAATTCCATCCAACAGTATTAAAAAAATCATGGGAGAGCTGATCGCCCTCAAGATAGAATGCATTTCCCTCACGAACTCAACCTCACGATGCTGCAACGGCTTCTGCAATAAATAAATTTCAGGAAAATGAATCATAAATCAAAGGTTTATCAAATCTGATAGAATTTCATATATAAGATAGTTGCAGCATACCCCTCTCAGCTCCGATTCTCAAATGACATATTTTCCTTATCCCGAGCCAGCCTTGCCCTTACATCCATTGCAAACAACAACCCAGACATAGAACCACCAACTTCAATAGATGATGACATTCCCATATTTGGACCTTCTCTTGCAGAATCATTATTATTTATAGCAGTGCTCGAGCCCCCAACATCACTTTCTGTTGGTCTCTGAGGACAGTTCCTATAATCATGTCCTGGATTCTTGCAGTACTTACAATGTCTTGCCTTTCTGCTGGTTGGATTCGGGTTAGAAGAACCTTTAGTTTTCACAACCCGAGGATCCTTGACTACAACTCTACTTGTACTAGCTTGTTCAGATGTGTCCTTATCATGTGCACAACCACTCTTAGTTGTGTCCTTCATTTTCTGCCAAATTTGCTCAGCCGAAATGATCAACTTCTCCACATCATTCTTCACCATTTGATATCCTTCATTTGTCTGTGAAGCATAATGACAAAGTTTCCCACACAAACCACTCAAGGTTCCGCACCTTATCACAGTATTAACTTCAGGATTGTCCAGCTTCACATTCACATCCTTTTTTGCATCCTTACACCACCCTTTCAGTACCAAATCACGTGGTAACAGACTAATATTGTTGACTTTCATAACAAAGAAACAATGACAACAAGGTATGCCTTTAGTCTCAAACAACTGACAAGAACACCTGATATCTCCAACTGTAGGATAATAAGTGACTCTCCACTTTGAGTTAGGATCAGAATATTGAGACAGGGCATAAGAAACTCTTCCACTTTCTGTCACAGCGGATGCACTATACAGAAGTGGATCTCTTTTCATTTGCTTTCGAACCTTGAAAAACATATCTCGAGTAAAGAGCTCAGCAGCATGTTTCTCAAGACTCAATAAATGACCATCACAAACCGGAGTTGAGTCATTACTTACATGATCATTGTGCAGCTCCTCGTACCTCAGTCGTCGTAGACCTCTGTGAAACTGTTCAACAAATTCAAATAGCTTTAGGTGACTTGTCAGAAATCTCTTCAAAGAATGCATAGCTTCACACCGCTGTGTACTCTTCATTCCACATGTGAACTTCCCAACAAAGAATTCATGTGCCCATCGACTACTTATCCTGTACATCTTGGACACCCACTCATTACAATGTAGATTAAGCTTCTCAACAGTGCTTCTCCACAACTCTTCGAAAATCTCAACTTCTTTGATTTTGTTAGCACATCTATCAAATACATTCTTGAATTCCTCTCCTTGAACATTCGAACTCACATTCCTACTCAAGTGCCAACTACATAACCTATGATGAACCTCTGGCATCACATCTTTGATGGCTTTTCTCATCGATTTATCTCCATCAGTTAGAACAAGTTTTGGCTTTTTTCCTTTCATCTTTTAACAAAGCACAACCAAACACAGTTGTTGAATGATGATGATTTGCACCCACCAGCACCACCAATGGCATTTTATAAGCATTAGTCTTTTATGTGGTATCAAACACCAAGACATCACCAAAGCAGGCATAATCTTGGCAACAGTTACCATCTGCCTAGAATAAATGCCCCAGTTCACTTTCTTCATTAACGGTGAATCTACAATAAAACCCAGGGTCACTTTCGGCTTTCGCACGCAAGTAGGCTAATGCACCTTCAGCATCACCATCACCATTACAAATTGTTGCCCTGCGATCAGCATCAACAAAATTATACAGATCTTTCTTTTTGTAACCGACATAACTATAACCACCAGTTTGGTTGACCATCAAATCCATCACATGGCTGGTTCTGATGCCTACGACTTTCAAAGATTTGATTTGAGCCTTGTCTGTCTCTTTCACTTTTCTGTGAGCACGGAGAAATTGTGCCTTTTCTAGAGATACCAAACGATGATTGTGACTTGCATGGAACTCCCTCACAACATACTTTTTCAGCTTACGACAAAAATTTACCCTGAAAGCAGCCCGACAACTGATCCTAGTAATTGGCTTTGGTTCCCTCTTTCTGCCTTGTCTCTGAGTATGCTGCTTCATTCGAACCCCTTGTTTATAGCATACCATCCTCCTTAATCTAACCATCCCATTTTTGAAGTACTTCAAATCATCTTTACGAGCACTAAAGCCCATACACTTATTGTATACAGTATAAAACTATTCAGCATCTTGTACAGTATCAAACTGAAGTCCAATAATATCATCTCTGTCCCAATCTTCAATGTCTTTTGATATATTGATATTCAAGCAGGAGAAGTCAAGATCATTACCCGCAACATTGTGAGTTGAATGATGATTTTCATCTCCAATATCATCAGGCATAGCATTTGGTGAGGGAATCCTACTATCAGAACTCATTTCAAACCCAAATCGTTTTTGAAATGATCCAATTTCCTCTAGGAATGTTATCCCTTGATTCCTATAAAATCACATTCAACACATAATTAAAACTGCATGCTATAGAACACATTAGTTGGAACTAATGTAACAAATGTAAGGAAAATATACAACCAAAAGAGGCAGCAAGTATCAATAAAACTGCAAAGTGAAAAGAGAACTGAACAAATACAAATAGAAAGAACATGGATCAACATATTTATCCTGGGCACAAGAAACATGGCAGAATAGGACAAAATGATCACAGTAAACAAGAGTCAGCATTCTGCAAAATGTGAAACTTGGCTTCCTATTTTCGACTGTTGCAGCAACAGTACAGGTGTTGTGGTGGTGGAGTATAGTACCCATGTTTTGATATTCAAAGACTCTCCTAGTCAATTCGCATCATCATTTTCTTTGAACTTTTTGTTTTGACGTTTATGGAAGTGACTTTTATTGCCTCCTAATACACCACCAGTGTATCCGGAATATGAGAACATAAATGTACAGGGAAGAAAAGCAGGATAAAAGCCCCAGTTCAGTATAATTTTGATCACCAAATAAACTACAGAAGCAACAAATTAGTAAATTCCAAAAGCCAATCACACATGCAAATTGCCAATGGGAAGCTCGCAAAAAGCATGCGCTGGCCAAAGCAAAGGTCAAAAGAGCATACTGACAAAATCACAACAATATTAGAAACATCACAATCTTTCACTAGCTAATTATTATGAACTTATTTATTATTATGACAAGCTTGCTGCAATAAGGCTAATCAAACCTCTTTTTTAGCAAGTGAGCAGCCTTAAGTCAAAACTTGTCTCTGTCACTCTTCCACTAATAAGGTACTAATTAAGATGCATCTAGTCAATTACTTCAATACTCTAAAGGTTATCAAAGAACATTGGTAAGGATGAACTATGTTGGACAAGTAGGGGTGGGCAACGGGACTAGATCGGGTACCCGTCTCGTTTTAAACGGGTACACAATCTCATTTGGAAGGAAAACTTCATCCCATGTCCCAAACCCGCACGGGTTAACGGGTATCAATTATCCATACAGGACGGATAACGGGTACCCGCGGGTAACCCATATAATACTTTAGGGTCTTTTTGTCCAGGTGCAGGTAGTCCGCATCTTCATAGACATGTCTATTTCACCGAGCCTCTCTCCGAGACAGTGCCCAGATCGTTACGCCTTTCGTGCGGGTCGGAACTTACCCGACAGGGAATTTCGCTACCTTAGAACCGTTATAGTTACGGCCGCCATATGAACCTGTCTATAGGAGCTATTAAGGAATAAGACGTCCGAGAATCACAAAAATATAATTGATCCACCTCAAAATACCTAGTATACCATTCATAATCTGCAAAATGATTGAATAATAAACCATTCTCCATGCTCAATGATAGATAATTTAACTCACTGATGAGAGTGGTTGCATGGTTCAGTACTTCAGTTCATAGCTAGTCTTTTTGCATCACCACAGCTCTATCGTTCTCTTTCTACAGATGAAATAATAACAACCATGGCTTTGCCTTTTGCCTCTCTAGCTATCTAAACAATTCCCCCACCTGCTGTTGATCCTTACCAAGTCCTCCACCCAACACCACCCATTAGGGCTGGGCATGCGGGCGGATCATCCGCGGGTTTGGGCCGACCCTCCCGCATTTGACCCGAATTTCGTTAAGTGGGTGGGTCTGTGGGTGGGTGACGGGTTGAGCTGGGAGCCATCCGCCGGGTGGTGGGTGAGTGTGCGGGTGACCCGCTCAACCTAACAGCAAAAAGATCAAAGTCGTTGGCGCTAGAGAGAGGAGAGTGGAGACGTTAGATATAAACTCGGACTGCTCCTAGAGTTTGAACCTCAAAGCCAACCTTCCAAATAGAGATCCCCTCTTCTTCCCTTTACTTCTTCCTCTAATTCTTGTGTCTAGATCACCGCTCTTTCCTTTGTGAAATTATTTTTCTTAGTTCCTTGCACCTAATAATCGTCTCAATCTGTAGAAAACTCTTTCATAATAGAATTCTATCCAATTTAAGAACTAATTCGACATTTTTCACCCTATTTCAACTTCTTGTTTCCCTCGATGATTCTCTTCACCTATTATCATGTCAAGTTGACTCCTTTATATTATATACATTGTGATGTGGGCAAACCCACCCGCATCATCCACCATCCGCCCGACCCAACCCGAGACTAAATGTGGGTGGGTGGTGGGTTAAAAATTATCAATCCGTTTAAGCGCGGATGGGTGCATTTTATGGTCAAAATCCACCCAACCCACCCAATGCCCACCCCTACCACCCATTACCAACTTCTTCAACCCACTAAACAATACTACCAGAGAAGCAAAATAAAGAACCTGACAACTTTTGCCTCCCCGCATCATCATCGAAACCACCAGCTTTAAAAGTATGAACCTGATAATGTGGTAAATGAACATGAGAACAATACTACCCAAATACCCGTTATCCGTTTCCCGTTGCCCACCCCCATGGACAAGAATTGCCAATGGGAGGTATACTGTGCAATCTGGATACTTCCTGGAACTTCAAAGGCAGGCCGACCAAAATAATATGAATCAACGGGAGAGGGATGATGGTGGAGTGAATTGGAAGATTATTTGGAACTCAATCCTATGCATACAGACCAAGCCGGGTTCAAACACCAATAACATTAATCATCCGAATTCACACATTACAGTTAACTCCAAAATAGAGGAGTAATCAGAGAGACAATGCTGAAGAAGCAATAAGAATAGAACAAACCTGAACTTGATTTCAATTTCAGCTACGAAGAAGTGCAGCAATGAGAATGATGTTGGCCCAAGCGTAGCTATACAGAGGGATTCCAGAGAAAAATAGTAGCCAGAGTAGAATTCTTTCCGGTGAATTTTTTGAGAACACGACGTTGCGGTGCCAAATTGTAGGAGTAGATTCATCAGATTGAGGCGAAGAACATGACCTTTATGACTGAAATGGCCACTTCTAATAGCGGCATTGACGTGCAGATTACCGTCGGCGATCAAGAGAGTCAAGAGAGCCCGTCGATAGCAGCGTTGACGTGCAGAGCCGGCAATAAAGAGAGCCCGCCGATAGCGGCGATCAAGAGAGCCCGCCGGCAATCAAGAGTGCCCGCAGATAACTCCCCGTTCGTTTTCCTGGTAGAACTGTTCGTAGCAGGTTTTCTTGGAAAGGCGCTTTATGTGGTCTCGATCAGTAATAAACGTATAATAATTACATAAACGAATTAAATATAACTAGGTTCAACCTAATCTGGTTGAATGATGATTTATTATGGACGGTCCTCAATTAATAACTTCAATCCAGCAGCTGAAAGAGTGGCGGCACTCATACAGTGCCTGCACCACAGAAAGCGCCTACTTCTTCATTCTTTTTTCAACTCCATTCTCATTGAATGCGCACTTATATTATATGTCATGTGCATAGTAACTTTTAAATCAAATCCAAGACAAAATACCAGTAAGTTCTCACTTGTACCAAAGTGATATACATCATTAGGGAGCAGATCAGGTCAGTAACTCATATGGTGGGGAACGTATCAAGTCAGTAACCTTATGGTGAGTAACTATGAGTAACCCGCCCACATCAGCATGACATCAGCATCCTCTCTCTCTTGAAAAGCCTTTAATTTTCCCCTCCTTAATCTTTGACGGACGATTTCTCACTCGTTTTAAGTCGAAATTTAATTTTTTTTGCACAGTTAGATCAGATTAATTGTGCTTTTTAAAATGATAACCACTTTGATATATTTTTCGAACAAAAAAAATTGAGCCATTTTTTACCACTCTATACCATATGGTATTGACTGGTATTGAAATAAGAGCATACCTATGGTTTGAAAAGCGTACCATGGTGGTATGACACAAACCAAAACTGTAGGATGGTTGAATACATGATAGTAGAAGTATATTAATTGTCATTTACGACTTTTAACACTGTATACCATAAGATACCACCCCCGTACCCAGGGTGGTATTGTATGGTATTGTGTGGTATTTTTTGGTCTTGTAATTTGTTCACCCAGAAATTTGTAGATCCACTAGATCATGACGAACTCGTCCCTGCTCTGCAAACGTTTTCAAAAACGAATTAAAAACGAAGAAGATACCATATGGTATGTAGTTGGTACTGAGAGGCCAGAATTTTTTTTCCGAAAAAAATATTGAAAATTGATCTCATTTTGTAGAGCATGATGAACTCGTTCCAACTGTGCAAAAAAAATTAAAATCCGAATTAAAATGAAAAAGATATGGGCCAATTAAGAAAGCTAGTGAAAATAAAAATGACCTTTAATTCTCCATCTTTAGATCTGGATTTTCTAAATGAAGGGTCCAAATTTGGTTATTGATGGGTGCATAACCATGGGTTACGCACCCTAACTTGAGCCCATATGGTGAGTAATCATCAGTAACCTGTCCACATCGGCATGTCCTCTCTTCTGGAAAGTCTTTTTATCTTTTCCCCTTTAATCTTTAACGGACGATTTTTCTCTCGTTTTAAGTCGAAATTTAAATTTTTTTGTACAGATAAATCAGATTAAATGTGTTCTTTAAAATGATATCCACTTTGATATATTTTTAGTAAAAAAATTGAATAATTTGTTACCAGTCATTACCATATGGTATGCTCATATTTAATACCATATGGTAAGAAAGCGTACCATGATGGTATGAACATACCAATATGGTAAGAAGGTTGAATACATGATAATAGGAGTATACTAACTGTCATTTACGACTTTCATCATTGTTTACCATAAGTTACCACCCACATACCATAGTGGTAAAATATGATAATTTTTGGTCTAGTATTTTTTTCACCCAGAAATTTGTAGATCTAATAGATCATGATGAACTCGTTCCTTCTGAGCAAACATTTTCAAAAACGACTTAAAAACGAAGAAGTTACCATATGGTATGTAGTTGGTAAAAAAAAGTTTCTCGAAATATATTGAAAATTGATCTCATTTTGTAGAGCACAACGAACTCGTTCCATGGGTGTAAAAAAAATTGAAATCCGAGTTAGAACGAAGAAGGTAAGAGCCGATTACGAAAACTAGGAAGAATAAAATGTTTTTAATTGACAACCCTTAGATCTGGATTTTCTGGACCCACTTAGATCTAAAAGTCCAGATTTAGTTACTCATAGGTTAGTAACTAAAGGTTACTCATCCTATCCTAAGCCACATCATTATAGGGGTCAGCTATACGGTCCGGTTAAATTGTGGGGATTTTAGTGGCATGAAAGGATGAGGAGTTGGTTAAGTTTTGGGTGTTGGACTCTCTTATCTGGTTTTTCGGTCCGGTCCTGAACGATTGTTTACCTCAAATCTAAGCTCGAAGATGAGATTAGATTTTTTTGCTATCCAATCTTGGTTTGAATTATACGGTCTGGTTTCGAGTAAAACCAAAACGCCCGGACCAAATAGCCACTCCTATGCACCAACATTAAGTGATGGCATAACTCATTAGGGGTCGTTTGGATGAGGAATTGTAACGAATCAATTTGACACAATTGTTTCTGTTTGTGCCTCGTCGCCCGAACAACTTGCCCGCGTTCTTCCTTGTCCGGCGCCTGCCTACACACACCAACACAGAGGGGGGCGCCTCGGCCCGTTAGCCCTCCGACGGTCAAGTCAGTATCTTAGTGAGAGAAGTGCCCTTAGAGCTCAAGTTTTTAGTGAGAGAGTCCAACTTGTGTAAATGCTACCAACTGCCCCTATTTATACTCACCAAGTTCGAGATTGATCTCCTCCACGTCACCATCCCATTAAATGCTTGGTACCTTCATTCCCGTAAGAAGCCCCAACCACCTTGTCAGGCTTCTGACTATTGGCAGGCGCCTACGGGCGGGGGACCATGTGCCAGTTTGGACCTCTTTGGCCCCTAGTGCCTTGTTCTCCATGCCTATGTTGCCCAATGGGCCTTGTGGGCTTCTTCTCCTGGCCCATTGCCCTGGGCTACCTTTAGCTGGATAGGCTCTCTTTTGGACCCACCTTTGGTGATACCCCCAACAGTTTCGTTTTGAGATAATTGTACCAAATTGCCTCGTTTGCCAGCAAAAAAATTTGGATGGATCAATCTGCCTGAGGTATTTTGAATTGATCCGTTTTGAGTCAATTTCAATTACCTGGGTGGGGGCAGGTAATTCGAATTGACTCGTTTATAAAACAAGACAATTGATCAAATAGACTCATTTCTAGATTGATCTATCCAAACGACAAGTTTAATCACACTACCTTTTTCAAGA